ATTATACATGTGCAGAACGTTTGATAGATTGCTGATAAAAAGTTAGTTGAAGAAACAAATTTTTTGGTATATTATTACATTATAAATAAAAATTTAGATTGATTTATGTTTTTTTTTTTGCTTTTTTTAATCATTATTAAGCTTTTTAGGTAGTCTAACCACATTTAAAATACATTGAGTAAGGTCAGCACTAAAAAATAAGAAACTTGATGACTGTGCCCAAATTTTCATGAGTTTCTTCTTTATGGTTTAATTTGTTCAGAGCAATACAAGCTCTGTAGTGTTTACACTAAAGTGGTCTTTTTATTTTTACTACAATATCGTTTCTTTATAGCTGCTAGTTTTTTTTTATAAAGCAAGGAGTGTTTTTGTAACAAAATAATTAATGTGATTTTATAGCTTATTAAAATCAATAATGACTTAACATTTTATCACTACTTCCCGAAACTGTCAGAAGAGTTAGGTAAATCGGCTAAATTCAAACTTGTTTATTACGTTCGACCCAATTGACGGACTCCGATTCATATTTAGAAAGGAATAATTTATTAATGTGCCCACAGTAAACAACATTTTGTATGTACGTCACAAAATAATATTCATTCAATGTGAAGCAAAAATGGTGGATGCGCCGGGATAGCTTTTAGCAATCCTCACAAAAAGCGAAACGTGAAACTTTTTCAGTTAGCCACACATTCTCAAATATCGTAGCACTCCGTTTTCAATAATCCAATTTGCCAGGTGAAAGAATGACGTCACAAGTATTGACCAGCTCCAGCTACTAATCTACTCAATTATTTGTGGTGCTCATGCGTGACGTAATTGTAAAATATCGCGTCACGTTAAAATGAAATACTAGCGCAAATCAGATTTTGTAAGAAAAAGCGTTGAGGTCGACACTATTGTCCTGGTTTTAAATCCATTTTCGAACGACCGGAAGCAATAAATTACTCACAGGATTATGGCTCTTGCTTCAAACCCAACCTTTCCTGAAGTCGATCTGCTATGCAGAAACATTAGTTGGTAGAAAAAGCTTTCTGGGAACAAACACCGTGACGTTGTTACGTAAGAATATTGATCGATGGAATTATGAAGTCGTTTAACTTCAACCACCAGTAATTTTGGGGGCGATTTTGATCGAAAAATAAACGCGCGTTGTATTCACAAAAAGCTGGTTTTGACAGAGGATTTACCCGGCCCAAAAATTCACTTGCAAAAATTTTGAATATCTTTTGCAGACGCCTAAAAACGTGTTTCAAATTTTCTAAGGTGCTATGTATTTGTGCTTTCTTTGTTCCAACTTAAAAATAGGTTTTTCAAGAGGAAAAATTTAGTTGTTCTGGAATTGCATTTAACCCTTCGGGCTGTTGTCTATATATAGGTCAAGAGCTGCACTTTTGCCATTTGCATTCCGATTTTCGGATAATCGATTTAAAGAATGACGTCACGTGCTTTACTCTTAGTTCAGCGACCTGCCACAGGGGATTCCAAGTTTATTTTATTTGTATTGAATTCTGAAGAAGCTTTTTAAGAGCCTGAATATATATCTCCGAATCTCAGTTTCGACATTTATTGGTATGAAAAGAAAAAATCAAACTTGCGATTACTAATAAAATAACTTACTAAAAACATTGAGCCAATGTTTTAGTATTTTTTTTCGTGTAAATAGTTTTTTCGCTTGAGAATTTTCGTAATAAGACCTTTTAAAAATGATCCGCACCGTTTAATTTCGATCCATTTAAAACAATGGTTTCATTTCCTCATGTCTAAACAATGACATAAAAACAAATTTCCTAAACAATATCAGTTTACACAGAGCACAAATGTTTGTTAATATGGCAATAATTTTGCTTTTATTGTCGTCACGTCGGCCTCTAATTAAATTATTAGCTAGTACAGCATATAAATGAACGTATTTACAGGCTTGTATATTTAATACTATAAAACTCCCTAACATTGTCATTAAATTAAAAGTCTGATTTAAATATTATTGTATCAGACGGAATTCGTTGACCTTTCTCCACTCCAAGAACCCAACTAAAGCAGAACTAGGTCAAAAATAACCCAAAAATACTTCTCACGGTGCTTATATGACATATTTGTTGATTTGTTGACGCCATAGATACAAGTTTGGAAGCTCATAAAACTAAAAGCTTCAAGTTGAAATTGACACTATATTTCAAAAACTATTAAGGAAAGAGGGATATAACCGAATTCACGCGTCATTTATTTTAGGAAATTCTTAAGTTATGCAAAAAATTCGTTTCTCAAAGTTTCAAAGTTTAGCGATTTGTGCAAAAGATAAGTTTTAAGCTTTATTTAGATATTTCGTGCAGTATGTTACATGCAAGTGGGTGCATGATGAAGCGTGCAACATCAAGCACATTGAAGTGTGCGTGAGAAATTGCACACTCAGTGAAACAGAGAAGCAATTTGAGTCTTGTCCTAAAACAACTTTGATGTCTTATTATCAATAAATATAAAAATTAAAAATGATCAGCTTTATTTTTAATTTATACAAAAATGAAAAATGACAACAAATTCTAAAAGGCGCCCCACAGGTTGAGAATCGCTGATTTAAAGTCCCCCTATGATACGCCTTCTTTCCAGACCGTAGAAATCAATATAAAGATTAAACTTTTATCTCAAGTGTACCAAATGTGTGTGTTTTACATTAATTAGTTTAATGTGACAAACAAAAAAATTATGTTGTTTTCTAATAAAGCCTGCTTTTTGGTCACGTTATCGCAAATCGTAAATTTTAGTAGAAATTATATCACATTAATAAATTAATGTTAACTTATATGGAGCATTTATATTTATGATGCTCTCAGTTGATATATGATCTGCATCATTATTTTTCTAAAATGACAACAAATATGACATTACATCGGAAATATCTTTGAGTCTACTCTATTAAAGTTCATGTCATATAGTTGGGAATTTTTTTTCTCTTATATTTGCACTCAAATATTCAATAAAAAACAACTTGAGGAGCAGACACGATGTTTTATATTTACGTGCAAGCCCGAATTTTGAATAGAAACTCATTAAACTTTTCCACATCAGGCGTAGAGAATGGTTTGCACCATCTAAATCGAATATTTTAACCCAGATATGCTAAACGTAAACAAAGTAGCAAAAAAATTTTGATTAATGAGATCCATTACTGTTTACGAAAAGCCATGCATAAAATCCATCTACATTACTTAAGCTAAAACGCTTTTAAAAAACATTGTTTTGAAATAGCATCGATGTCTCATATAGAGCAAATTTCTATTATTCTTCGAATTCTCAAAGCTGTTCGGTAAATCCTAATCAGGGATTGTTTAGCAGCTCATTCAAGGTACTCCAGATCAAGTCGAGATTAATGGGCATACCCCAAACACCATCTATTCTGACATCTCACATTACTTAAAGTATTAGAGAATTTAACCGCCCAACAAAGAAAATTAATCAACGTTTTGGTTTATGACATTTGAGATTAACTTAAAAACAGACAAATGTAATTAAATAGAATAATTTTGCCATAAATGATAATCCAAAAATGGAATGCTGCAACAATTGTGGTGTGGAAAAATGAAGATAGAAAGAAATTTCAATTGCAAAACAGAATTTTGCGTTAACCTTGCGTTAACGCTTGAGGAAAGTTTAAATTACGATTAACTCAACTTATGTCGTTTTCATGTGGTTTAACTTTGTTTTCAAATAAAAGTGTTTACCACTTTACCATTTTGGCTTCTAAAAAGTTTTCGCTTTCATTTTGTTATGGCTTTTTTTACGAAGGTAACGTTGTTTCAGAGTTGAAACAAACAACCTAGATTTCAAAAAGTTAGATAAATTTGCCAATTGCCTAGAATTTAGCAACTCTAATAATCGTATTGATCTAAACTTTGCTTCCCTGATAGTGTTCTTGATGTAGAGCTTGTGTTTTAGCTTGTTTAATGAATTTAACAGGTTTGAGTTTACGTGGGTTCTTAGTTATCTGCAAAGCGATTTTACATATGATTTAAATACAGTTATCTCTAAAATTAAACTGCAAGAAATTTCTTAAATTAACTTAAATTGTTTCCGGTGCTTTAGGCAATGAAATATTTCAAACTTGTCTTGTTTAGATATAAATAATTAATAACACAATTAATATAAAATTTTCATTTTGCTGGTTATAATTGGCTCTTAGTGTGCAGAATTAATTTAATATTATTGATTAGAAATGTTTCAGAAATATTCTATTTAGGAGTAAAACTCACGCAAACTTTTCAAGCTTCGTGTCAAATTAACAAAGTTTGTTATAATTGTGATATCTTAATTAATACAAACTTTGTCTACCGTCACAGACACTCAAATCAATCTGGTATCTGTTATTATAAACTTATTTAATATTAAATTACTTTTTTAACAAATAAATACTACGCTAAATGAAAATTAACAAAATTCAAAATGTTACAACAACCATTTAACATATCACACAGATATATTGATCCTAATTACATTATTAAAACGCCCATTAAAGTCGTCCTTAATGAATAATATATTTTAATAACGGTAGAAAATTTGAAATGATTTGTTGGAAAAATTATTTAAAATAACAGCACTCCATAGGGTACTTTGGAATTTTTAACTATTTAAACTTAGATTTATTACAGGTAAAGTCTTTTCGGCTTCTTAAGTAAATCTTTATTCACTCTAAAAATGGCTCCGTAATCCCATGAACCAACTTTTCCGCTTCATGGTGAAAAAATTGGTGTCAAAAAGTATTTCACTGGCTTTAAATGTGACAAAGGATTACGTTTTGAGGCAAAGCTTTTTAAATTGGGTACAAATTACTCACATTTTTAAATATAAACTTTCAACAACATGCCTAAGTAGCTACTTAAACTTAATAATTTTATAAGATAAAGTCTCTCTCAACATATAATTTACGACAAAAGTTACTTTGAAGTGTTTCTGATCCCCCGAGTGTTAATTTGAAGAGCTATAAATCGATTTTATTTTCGTTGCAGTTAACTTGAAGAGGATACGAGAAGGACCTGTCATAACATTCACGATAAAATCAACAGTTGATGACGTTCCAAAGGGAAAATTTATCAACACAATCGACGAATTAAACTGTTGGCCTAACGTCTTTAAAAGTCACTTGAATGGGTCGGCATTAACGCTCAAGTGGACGATGGAAGACAGCGAGCAGTTCATGAAAACGAATTTAACTTTCGAGTAAGTGCCAGAATAAGTTCTACAAATACGAATTACGTGCCATTCCACCTGAGATGTTTAAAAAATAAGCTAAATGGAATTATCCAGTAGTTCAGTGTTTCAATATTTGCATATTTAGGCCATGAAACCGCTGGTTAACCGAAATTTAACAAGGATCTCGATTAGTGCTTTGGTTTAACTAATATGTCACGGAACGGTTTTCGGAGGCAGCGCCCGAAGAGATATGGAAATTGTTTCTGTTCTAAATTGTCAAGAACCGCATAACCAAACACCTTCCGTCAGAATTGTAGTTGGAACTAAACGATCTTAGTTAATCACTTAAATCTGATTTTAAATTTGTTAAATAACTTCATATTAATGTTTGATGAGATCTCAGGGTACTAAATAATGTATGCATATCTTCATTCTTGTTTCTTTACGTATTCAACATAAAATAAAAACATCTACGAGCATCCTCTCGCTGCACTTAATTTATGTAACTTCAGCTCGAAAGCTTCAGAGTTGTTTGCATAAAATTATAAATTACGCAAAACATTCAACTGTAAACAAGCTACTTTATATTTTTTGAAACGCTGGCAATTTCTATATTTTTGTGTCGATTACCTACTCTCGATAAATATTGTGCAATTAAAATGAAAGCTCACCGATTATATGTTGTGGTGATATCTATTCAATTTCCCATTTCTGTTATATTGGTATTAAAAGACAAGTTACACTGTTGGTTCTATCGGAGCAGCCAAACCCAAATATCGGTTACTCTGCTGACGCTTTTGTGTGAACATGAAAATTGTGTACCCACAACGTAGACCATTAAATATTTATATTTTCCTTTGTTTAATCTCAGAAGCATCCAAGATTTGCGAATCATCTCGAGTGTTCAGTAGCAAATTTCACAAATGTTTGGCAGAGAGTGCAGAGACATCTTGTCTTGTTTACCAAACATTAAGTTCCGCGAATAACTTTGCTCAACTAGAAGCCCCATTCTCAAATTCTCTGGAATGTCTTAGAAAACCATTAAGAGAAACTGTTGCAAAGAATTTTTGTTGTCATATTTTTTGGTAAAAAAAATAATAAATAAAGAAATTCAATTAAAGTTCTATGGATTCTGTGAGATATACTCATAACTTCGGCTGCTCTAAAATGTAGTACAACGTGGGACTGTAATAAAATACTCTACAATACACGTGCTGTTTCTATGGTTTATTAAGTTGTCACAATGTTAATGTTTTTATTAAAAAAATTATTAAAAGTTTTATTTTTAAAAATACACATATTTATGCAATCAATTACTAATTATTATAATTATAACTCTCAATTGAATTTCTAATTTTTAAGTTTTCTACACAAATTACAAAATATTTATTGTTTAAATACGAAGTTATTATTATTTATTTATTCATTCAAGTTACGATTGATTTGTATATCTTAACATGAAATATTATATTTCCTCTATGGTAGTGACACAGTTTTCTACATACCTAGCAATCAAAATTATTGACATAGATATGTGTCACATCAAGATCATGTTAGTTTTTTGTCGTTTGAGGACATTTCGAATTCAAGGAAAAAAAGTGGCAATCCCTTTGATTTAAAATTAATAACTTAAATTTTGCAAACGCGACAAAAGCCAAGTTATCTGTGGGAATGTATTTTCGGTTGCGTCTAAAAATCGATTAGGGTCTTTATTATAAATGATTCACCCTGTATATGTATAAGCGTTCACGTTCCACCATATTGTCGCCTACCTTCGATTATAAAATTTTACGTTCTATAACACTTTTATGATAGGTGACAGCCATTAAGGTTTAATGTATTCAGACCACTTCAAAATTCTAAAAAATGTATAGAGATGAACGGTTCCTACTTCAGAGAAATATTACAAAAAAATTTATTTCAAACATCTAAAGAACTAATTACATATTTTTTTTATAGAGTTGTGAAAGAAAACATTTGTAAACAAAATATTTGCTTGCTTTTTGCTTAGATAAACATCAGAGTGGACGACCATTTGATATTGAGTACTTACCTTGTTTAGCTTAAAATTGTAATCAAATAAATTTCATTTACAATAAACAACGAAAAGTTGTTTATAGCCACTTGGCAAGAAGAAAATGTTAGAAGTTTCTTTACATTTTTGCCTTCAAACGACTCTGTATATTAGTTAGCTCAGTATTGATATAAAGATTAGTTAAAGTGCATTCAAAGCATCTTAGAAATGTATGAAACCACTTTTGCCTAGTCTATGAATGTTCTTCTAACTACCCTCTATTTTTCAGAGTGAATTACCAAGTGTCAGACGATCCATCTGTCTACAGAGTGATATATTCTTTTCCAATAAGTCAAGGTACGAACGAATGAATCTTTCCCTTTCAAGATAAAATTCACTAAAGAATTTCATTAAAAGAGTGACCATCTGTGTAATTGCAACCCGCCTGTATGCGTTCAAATAAATTTATGATCAATGTGACGTGTGATGTAGAGGCAGAAGATATGAAGAAGAAGATATGAATACTTGATAATTTTTTGATCTTCTGTCACATTTTATTCAGCATATTTTTTAAAGTCACAGACCACATTGATAAGGAATTTATCTGAAAGCAACGTATTATTAAATCATCACCGGCGTTATTTCAACCACACGTGCCATAATAAAGGTTTTATTAACGCCGTTTCCGTCTTGATTAACGCTAAAACAGTATTTTATTATTCATTTTAATGCACCCTTCCCAATTGCAAATCAAGGACTTGTGTAAATTTACTCCACAAAATTTGGATGTTTCAGATTGCCAAGTCCGTTTGAAAAAAGAGGAAGCAGTGATAAGTTGGAGAGATTTTCCTCACTCTGTCAGCGACTGTCAAGTGTGGTTTCCCAGTCACGATACAGGCCACAGTCTCGTCATCGAACTCACTCGTCTCAACGTCCCCTGTTCCAAAGGCTACATCCACTTTTCCGGCCTCAACATCACGCTACATCAGCAGTTCCGCAGCCACCGGCAGGCGCGTCTCTGCGGAAAGCTCGAGGAACTCCCGGAGAGCGACCGGCATGTCTACTTCCCGTTTTCCCACACTCCTCCGGTTATGCACACTCATGGTAATCCGGTCTTCGCGCTCTCATACCATCTGGTCGATTATTGTTACAACGTCACCTTCGTGGCGCGAAACGGCTCCTTCGAACTCAAGCCCACGGAGGAGCTACAGTGCACTTTCAAAATATATTTGCCTTATGGGAACAGAGTGGCGCTAAATCTGCAGATCGGGGACAGCACTTCCACAGGTAGGGATATTCGCAGAAAAAGTTTTGTAAAAGTTCAGTCGAAAAGTTCATATCAAAGTTTTTTTTAATAAGATTTTTAAGCAAATAAAATATAGGAATACAAAAACTGTAAACGTAATAGAGTAATTCCATGTCAAAACAATCGCTTTTAAAACTCATTGTTTCTGATTTTTGTAAATTTGAGATATGTTATAGAACGTGTAAAAATAAGTGACACGTTTCTACCGTTTTTTATTTTTTCAATGTATGTTGAAAAAACAAGGATGTACAAAATTAAGTACTCTGTAACAAAAAGAATTTGTATCTAAAGAACAAATCAACATATTGAAACGATTTTTTTTTAATTATAGATATACGTAAGTAGGTACACTACGGACATAATAACACATGAATTCTAAAAATTTGTCATTAACAAATCATTTAAAACTATATTGTTTAAACAAAAAAATAAACAATTATGTAGGTTTTTAAAATTCTCAAAAAATTTATGTAAAAGTTTTCATATTTTTACTATGTCTTTACATAAGTTTCAAAACGGACGTTTTAAAAGTGGCTGAAAAAAAATTATTTGAGAGCGCTGCATAGTGCATGATCGCCTAAGATCGCGTTTCCTTGGAAATTAAATAGAAAAATTACCAATTACCGTCACTAATAAACTGTTCTAAAGAAGACACATAATTTCCAATAACTTATTAACATTTATTTTTCAAAAAATATCAATAATAAATCCAAATTCCTCGGTTGAGGAAGAGTACTCTCTATGTTTTTTTTAGTCTATTTTCTGATATTAAAATAAAAGTATGTAGATTTCGGGTACCTTTTATGAGCTTCGCTCGACTAAAATGATCATTTAAAAAATCGCAGTCTTTCAACTTGTCGATTAGATTATACAGGGTGTGTCAAAAGTCTCGAACTAATGTAACATGCCATGTAAAGTAAGATACTAGGAGCATGGAAAAAATGTAAAAAAAATAATCTATAAAAATTTCGAAGTTGTGAGAGTTTATTTTGCACTTTGACTCTATTTGTTTCTGTTGGAAAAATAATTTTCCATGTTATTTTTGCTACAGGCTATTAGAAGAGGAAACAAGGAAGCTGTATCCCAAATTGTAACTCTGTCTAATGTTATTTGTGGCTTTTATTGGCAAAATTATTGTACCTTTATTAAATAATTATAAAAAAAACATACTTACAAGATCATCAATATCATTAAATAGACATAAAAAATGTCACTTTTCTAAAAATAAATGTACAAATTTTTTGACAGATTTTTGTAACATGTTTTTCATGTTCCTGGTAAGATTACCTTACATGATATGTCATGTTGGTCCGGCAATTTTGAGACAGCCTGTATAGCCAAACGTAATATGTAAAATACTTGCGAAATATTTACTCAACCAAGAATTTGTATCTTATTATTGATACGTTTTGAATAATAAATGTTAATAAATTATTGGAAATTATTTGTTATCATTAGAACAGTTTATTAGTGAGGGTAATTGGTAATTTTTCTATTTAATTTGCAAGGAAACTCCACTTTCAGGCGATCTTAGAGGAAATTTTTTTCAGGCATTTTTAAAACGTCCGTCTTGAAACTTATGTAAAGACATAGTAAAAATGTGAGAGTTTTTACTTAATGTTTTTGAGAATTTTAAAAACCTGCGTAATTGTTTATTTTTTTGTTTAAACATGTTTTTAAATTAATTGTTAATAACAAATTTTTAGAATACATATATTATCACGTCCGTAATGTACCTATTTATAACTATTATTTAAAAAAAAAAACTTCGTTTCAATATGTTGATTTGTTCTTTAGATAAAAATTCTTTTTGAGGTACTTAATTTTGTACATCCCTGTTTTTTCAACATACATTGAAAAAATAAAAAAAGGTGAAATAAATACGTGTCACTTATTTTTACACGTTCTATAACATATCTCAAATTTACGAAAATCAGAAACAATGAGTTTTAAAAGTGATGGTTTTGGCATGGAATTACTCAATAAAAACTTTCGTGAAAGAGTTTCGAGTTTAAACAACATGAGTTTAGTTTATTTTCTAATCATGACTTCTCATTTACTTTCCATTTTTCATGCAAGAGTATTTTTAAAACTAAAAATTTTATCTTCTGGCCTAGTTCTGTTATATCCTCCAGAAAATTTGAATAAAGCTTTTTTCATGAACTTCCAATTTTAAAGTTTCACAAAACCAATTTACTTTTTGGCGTATTTTCGCAAGTTCTTAAAAGGCCGCTCACGTTTCAGGGACTCCCGCGACGGACGCCCTTTTGCAGGATCCAAAAAGCGGCGAGAAATGTGATGGTTTACTGACGCAACTCCACGACGGAGACAACACTTGGTCCCACTGCACTAAGCCCGGAGACGCCGAGCGCCGGATCGAAATCGTATCAAGGGGGAATAAGGTAGTGCTGCGGGTAAATGTGCGTAGTTCTAATGGGGGTTCTTTGGGATTACGGATGATGTATCATGCCGCGCCGATTGAAGAGATCGTGGGTGCGTGCGGATTTGGGTGGGTGACTCTTAAACAGTTTTGTGTGACGGCTGTGGAGGAGTTTAAACTGCCGTGGGCTCAAGCCGAAATGGAGTGCATAAGAAGAGGAGGACATCTCGCGAGCATCAGAAGCGACTACGCGCAGAACATCATAAATAATCTGCTGCTAAACAGGTAGGTTATCGATTTTAACTCACTCAGCTTAATGACAAATTATGTATTTCAATAAAAAAATCTGGTATTAAATTGTTTAATTAAAGTTATCATTGCATAAAGCATCATTAAAAAATTTAGAATTGGTTTTAGATAGTCAGTCTGATAGCTCCTAAATACAAAATCACGTATMATTGGTTTAYGTTATTATAAACTTGTAATGACGTTGTAAAAGTTAATGGTGTCTGAAAATGTTTTTGTTCCGGTCATACGTCATAAACATAAAACTAAATGCCAAAACAAGAATTTCATTAAAATGTTAATTTTTAATTAATTCTATTTGCAGTTGTAACAGCAATTTTGTAACAGACTGTATACATCATTGTAGCTAATATTATAGTCTGGCAAAGTTCACGCTCTTTCAGATATTATCCTAAACCTGAAACCTCAATTATGATGGAAGTTAAATTCCGGTTCCGCTTTCCGGACTAGTCCCAAATGCCGAAATTTAATGTCTTTAATCATAGTAACTGTCCTATCGTGTTTATCATTTGATATCCCATACCTATTATCTATAAGGTTACTAATAGGATACAAGGTAATAGTTATATTTCCGGAAATGTAATCAAAGGACCTCACGTCACGTTATTACTGTTAGTTATGATAAAATAATAAAAATATGAATCCAAAAAAGTTCAGACAAAGTTGTAAAGAATCGAAAATATGCTTATCACGGCAAAATATGGAATACTCTTTTTTATGTATTAAAACTGAAAATATTTTGTTTTGACAATAATGCTCGAACAGGTCAATTTTCTTATTAAAAAATACAAAATTCTCAACTTGATTTAAGATTGTACAGTTGGAGACAGAATACTTTGGTCGTCACTTTTCTGACACTTAAATGTGATTCAAGCTTTAATGAATGACAATTTCAAATTAATGACAGCTATTATATCTTTCTATCAAAAATATGTACAACTTGTCAACTATGATTGACAGTAGCTAAAAATAAGGTTAACAGTCCTAAAGCATGCTTTACAATTTAATGTCACTCAAGTGACATTGACGACCAAAGTATTTTGTCTCCAACTGTATGTTTGTTTTTTGTTGACATTATTATACTTTTTGTATGATTTTTTTTTCGAAAACTTTATGTAATTTTAATATTTTGGTGTTGTCATTTCGACAATGAAAACATCTATCGAATTGGCTAAAAAGATTAAGAGTCTTCATTTAAAAAAAAAGTGAAAAATTTAAATCAAGTTAAAAATTGAAATTTTTTAAGAAGAAAATTGACCTGTTCGGACATTTTTGCAAAAACAAAATATTTTCAGTTTTAATAAGATTATTCCATAACTTTGACGCTCACTGTATATTGGACTAGTTAGTTATAAACTTGATTAATTTTGCCGGGGTCTTGTAATAACGCTGCGGTTAGCAATGTAATAAAATTTAGGAGAAAAACCTGTGTGTCTAGAGTATTACAACTTCCGATAAATAAGTAGGTAGGTACTTCCAATTTTTTTGACAAGATGTTACACGTGCTATAAAAAATTGTTACTTAATTAGAGTTGAGTTTTGTTTAATTTCTTTGCTAATTCACATTCACATGCATTAAATTGTTAAAGTCGAATATTTTGTGCTTTCAATGCATACATGAATATAAAATTGTTGTTATCATTTTGAGATGTATATTACCATTACTCTTAGGCATGATAAATCACTTCTGAAAGTATTTTGCATTTAATTATAAGCCACCATTTTTTAAGGCAACCTAAACATTATATTACCGTTCCATTTTTTTAATATTCTACAAACATTTTGATTTGATTTATGATGTTTACCATTAACTTCCCTTAAAAGACCCTAAATGGAAATTTATTACGTTTATATACACGAAATAAGATTAATTTGCTTATTTTAAATGAGCTTTCGTCTAAACTGGTTGACTTTTTGCAATTTAAAATTAAAATAATTCAGGTCTAATCTAATTGCATTTTAAAATTGTTGAAATAATTCAAATGTGTCTCTGTTTGTGTCTTTTTGACTGATTATATGACAAACATTCAACTATGACCTTTACCTCGAAACATCAATTATCGAATATCCTGAGCTTTTCTTCACATTTGCGACATTTAACCATTCTACAAGCGAAAATGCTTTTAAGCAGTCCAAGTGCTTGCAAAGTGTTCTAACAAATCATACTCCCTAACTCTGACTCGCAACCTGAAGCCTTTAACTAAAAGCACATTTAACTGCTCCCATTTATTCTCCTCGATTTTTTATGAAGACAGTGAAATAAAATAGGTGCGGATAAGTCGCAATCTTGACCGCTTTTTCAGCCTGACAAATATTTTACATTTTTCCACATCCAATTGCCATCCTTTGTTTGCACCACAAAGCCTTTTATTTTTTTATGTTTCTAAAGGTTATGACCGAAGACAACCATTTCACGAATAAGAGGAGAAAGCAATGTGGAAAGAAATGGATCAATTTATAAAGTAACCGTATCCTCCACGCCCGTGAGGACTTAGACGCGACTACGACTCTTTTAAGCCCGCATTTTAACTATTACACTCACGTATTAAGGATTCTGAGATGCGATCAATTTTACTCAAAATAATTATTTCGTCATATCTTACTTTTGAGAACATTCATTCTGCTTCAACTCAGTGATGAGATAATTCATTTAAAAACATCAAACTCGGATCTCTGTTCACTTGCGGAAGTTTTTACAGTTGAATTTAAGAAAATTAGATTGTTCCGTTTGTCAAACTTTGTGAACAGTTCTCAAAATGATTCAAGACGAATTTACAGAAACATTACGCCCGTTAGAATTAGTTCAGGTAACAAAACATTAAAGAATCACGTGCTGGATTTTGTGTCATTCTATTTTATTTATCCTGTTAATAGTTAATAAAGTCGGAAAGTCCTAGGCGGACTTTGAATTAAGAAATCATATTCTAACTATTCCACTCATTTATTACAGCAGCGATACTTTGGTTGCCTATAGTAAAGAAATAAAAATGCTTTTTTTACAATTAACATTAAATTAATATAAGTTATTATAAATATCTCATTATTTACCTATCAAAAATATGCTGAAATCTTTTAAAAGACGCTCATCCTAAAGATAGATCGCTTTTATCTTCAAATTCTTTTGTTTACTTGGTCACAATAGCGTAGCCAAAAATAAAAAAATGACCTAGTTTCTAGATTTGCCAAAAGATTGAAACATATTCTCGCAATATCAACCACTAGTGATGATAAAGTATATGTGAAATTCTGATTTCAATTTCTAAATTTTGAGTCATAATAAGTAATTTTTTTGTTCTGCAGTGGAGACAAAAGCAATTCAAACGTCTCAGTTGGGTATCAAGTAAAACAAAGCTAAATTATGTTCTAAAAAATCGATKATAATGTGCATTCGGCAAGCATTATGTGGAATGGAAACATTTCGCAATACGGCAATACGCTAATAGCATGTTGTTGCGGTAGTTTCTTTCAAAATAGGTAACGTAAAAAAACAATAAGTAATTAACACAATTTTAGTATTTTATTCAGTTCATAAAAACTCATAAATTTTCCAAATTTCGTAAAATATTGTGTTCAAATTTGTAAAGTATACCAATTTATTTGAATTTAATTAAGAATTATTACAATAGGATTTATTCGCCGAAACTATTACAGACATCCCAAAGTGCCCAACACGTAATCGGCGTAAAACAAATCTCAAGTCGAATACCTCGAAAGTAGAGCTAGAGAAGGTTTTTTATTAGCGTCAAAATCTATCAGATAATATACGTTGATAAGAATTGATCAAAAAAGCCTATTTTGTTCAAAACTTTATTTTTTTTTATACAAAAATGGCAATGTTTTGAACCATGTAAATGTAAAATGTTCCGAAGAGTCGATTGGCGTTGAAACAATGACAAAATTCGAGATAGTTTTTAGATGTTATCGACTTCAGATTTTAGGTTTTGCATTAACTAATTATCACAGGACAATGACCTTAGCTTCAAAGTTATTAGCAAATACATATAAATGCTCCGAGTACCAAACATCGCCCAAAATTTTGACTAAAACTTTGGAAAACTTCAAAATTGATTGAAATGCGTCTAAAAAAACAAAAAAAAATGCATAAAACGCTGTAACATCTAAATTATAAAAAATGTGTTTAAATGAAGATATTGGATTAGAGCATAAACACTGGTCTCAAATTCTAATAAAATAAAAGAGCATAAGCGTAAAAGCATAAGCATGAGAGCTTTTTTATCGTAAAATTACTTTTCTTAATTTTTTTAAAATACAGTAAATTATCGATTTTCTTTCGACTAAATAACCCGTTTCTTAATGGCGTTACAGTATTTAATACCCTCGCCAGCTCACCACAAATGTCCAAATTATTATTATTAATAACAACTCGTTCATTAAATGGTTTTAATTTAATTTTTGTTTAAATTTATGTTCTTTATTAAGAGTTGAACTTATCTATGACGCGACGTAGGAAATTTGCTAGGTCTAACATTCTATTTGCTATGCACAAAAATACACCCCAATTAAATAATAATCTCTACCTATAATAAATTTAAAAATTTCGAAGTTTTCTATCTTCTATGACAACCAATAAACTTGCTAAAAAAATTGACGGTAGGGAAATATAAATATTAATATTTGATTTTAATATTACTATAATAACTACCTACTAATTACATTTACAAACAAAATGAAATATTTTAAAAGGAATTTAAAAGAAAAAAAATATTTGTGTAAATATTGGGGAAAATTTCAAAAAAATATTTAATTATTGTTTATTCCAGCCCTGGGTATCGGGACCACAACGCCTATTGGATCGGTGCGTCTGATAAAATGGTCGAGGGTGACTTCCGGTGGTCCGACGGCCTCCCCTTTTCGTTCACGAGTGAGTATATCGAAGATGAGCTTTTCTCAACTGCTKCTCCTAAATAAATCGTATTCTAAGAATAATGTAATTAACGCCCCACCCAAACGACGAACCAACACAACTCCTCTACTTATATAGTAAAATATGTTTGTGGTTATATTTAAACACCATCCGCTGGCCCGTCGGAAAGAAAATAGAATAAACTAACGTTCCCGTTTGATTCAAACTCGCAAAGCTTATTTTTGAACTAAATTCAACAACTTTAAGTAAAAAAAAAGAGATTTCAAAGTGATAGTAAAAGGCTTAGACGGAGAGATACGTTCTTTTTTGGCTTGGCTGCTAATGTAAATATTACCGAATACTGACAGATGTTGGCACGATTCCGTGCATCCGACTATTTCCAGCATGCGAGTATAAATACTTGGTGACGTATTTTTGTGTACATTCTTTAGTTACCTCCTGCTCTGGGAGATGTACTTATTAAGTAATATGTATTTTAGTACACAAATAAAACAATTTGTAGGGAGATGCTATCTTTAGAAAAGAACGAAAATAGAACGTTAGAGGGATTCTCTTTTAAGGCAGTTGGAAGAGTTTTTTGTTCCTATTGAAGGAATTTGATGCTTTAATGTGATTTTAATTATTTGAGAAAATAAAAGACAATTTGATTGAAAATCTTTTATAGAAATAATGCCGAAAGTTTATTTAAGTTAAAAAAACAATAGACATATTATAATATACTGAAAACATCAATTTTCCTTTTGAATTCTAAAAAAAATCAAAAATAATAGGCAGGTCTGTTACTAGATAGGGATTTATTTACCTGCCCAGTCACATGGTATAGTTACAATTAAGTAAATGATAACAAATTATAAATAAATATATTCAAAGATGTTAATTGACAAGATGTTCATATAAAGTCTGTCTGGCAGTACAACCACGGTCGCAACAATAATAAATCTGTAGATGTATTGATACAGGTATAACAACTTATAGCAAATAAAAATGCAAAACAGCTTAGAAGCACTTGCGGTGGACAATTCCAGGGCCGGATTCGTCGTATTCTTGCTTGGAGATCCACATCTGTTGGAAGGTGGAGAGGGAAGCCAAGATGGATCCACCGATCCATACGGAGTACTTCCTTTCTGGGGGAGCAATGATCTTGATCTTGATGGTCGATGGAGCGAGGGCAGTGATTTCCTTTTGCATACGGTCAGCAATACCAGGGTACATGGTGGTGCCTCCAGAGAGGACAGTGTTGGCGTACAAGTCCTTACGGATGTCGACGTCGCATTTCATGATGGAGTTGTAGACGGTTTCATGGATACCGCAAGATTCCATACCCAAGAAGGAAGGTTGGAAGAGGGCTTCAGGGCAGCGGAATCTTTCGTTGCCGATGGTGATGACTTGGCCATCAGGAAGTTCGTAGCTCTTTTCGAGGGAGGTGGAAGCGGCAGCGGTGGCCATTTCCTGTTCGAAGTCGAGGGCGACATAGCAAAGTTTCTCCTTGATGTCACGGACGATTTCTCGCTCAGCGGTGGTTGTGAATGAATAACCACGTTCGGTGAGGATTTTCATGAGGTAGTCGGTCAAGTCGCGACCAGCCAAGTCCAAACGGAGGATGGCGTGGGGAAGGGCATAACCTTCATAGATGGGGACGGTGTGGGTGACACCATCTCCAGAGTCCAAGACAATACCAGTGGTACGACCGGAGGCGTACAAGGAAAGGACGGCCTGGATGGCAACATACATAGCGGGGGTGTTGAAGGTTTCAAACATGATTTGGGTCATCTTTTCGCGGTTAGCCTTGGGGTTCAAGGGGGCTTCAGTAAGCAAAACGGGGTGTTCTTCTGGAGCAACGCGGAGTTCATTGTAGAAGGTGTGATGCCAGATCTTTTCCATATCATCCCAGTTGGTGATGATGCCGTGTTCAATGGGGTATTTCAAGGTGAGGATACCTCTTTTGCTTTGGGCTTCATCTCCTACATAGGAGTCTTTTTGACCCATACCGACCATGACGCCCTGATGTCTTGGGCGACCGACGATGGATGGGAAGACGGCACGGGGGGCGTCATCACCGGCGAAGCCAGCTTTGCACATACCGGAGCCATTGTCAACGACAAGAGCCGCAACATCGTCGTCACACATGTTTGATGTGGTTGATCACTGCTCACTAGACAGAAAGAACACAGCTAAGAGCTTGTTGCGATGCGACTGGATGCTGGGAACACAACGAATCACTTTTATAGGCTACACCGTCAGCGGCGGGGTCCAGAAATTCTATTTTTTCATTACGCTACCTACGTCCACATCTTACTATATTAGTTCCAACGATTCTAACCGTCTAACGATACTTATTTGAGAATTTACACTATCACGCCCAGCGAAAAATTCGCTCAAACCCTACATGCACATAGGTACTCAAACACATTCCTCTCATTACTCATTCAAACAATAACTGCACTTAGTACATTTTACAATTCAAATCATCCATTAGGAACCGAATTAAGAAAAAAAATCTTTAAAACCTTAAATCAAACAATGTTTATTCATCCGAAAAAAGCAACATACGCTTGAAAATTCCTTTGGTTTGCGAATTTTCCAAACAGGGAGTTATATTAAAGCATAGTCGCCGCCACTGGCTGAAGACGGTTCCCAAAATAATTCGTACCGTCCATGTATGGCTCGCTTCATACAGCGACGCAGTCGCATGGCGTCGCCCAAATAAGACATCCTTGTTGTTAGTGGGAGGCGCGTCGTCCGACGACGAATTTCATAAATGTGCTCGGTATATGAGCCATCCAAAATAGTACCGCGACCAAAAATGCATCTCCCTACAAAAATCTCGTATTCATCCCTTAAACCGATCTTAGAAAAGATAGAGATTATTTTATTTCAGGTGCCAAAATAAAAATTAAAATTTTATTTAATAAAAATAAGTTCATATTAAAACAAATTAGTTCTGCACCATTTTTGGCAAATTTTACGGTTCATTGCACAGTTAATTATCATGTCCAAAATAGCCTCGTTGGCATGACTTAAGTAAATTCCGGTTGAAAGTAATTACAAGTATTTAGACTTCAGTATTTTGGCATGCTTGAATTTTTCTAAAATGACTAATCCTGTTAAAATATAGAAAATAAAGCAATTTTTGGTTTCGTGGGTGTCAATATTTTGACTCAAACTATATGTTTGAAAATGTACACAATGGAAATATATTTATTTATTTGTTCGTTTATTTATAAATACAGGATGAGTCAATTAGTGTACAAAAATTAAATGTGTGCACACTCGAAAAGTACAAAAATGATTTATCTTGGCCTCAAAACAACTCTGTTTTGAACTAATTTCAACTAATTAAGAAAGAAGCTAACGATGCATAAACTCTTTCATTATTGTTTCATTTAGATATAATTAACTTTCCTTTATAGCAGTGGCACTTTAGAGGCTCTCTTATATAAAATAATTATGTAGGGTATCCTCGAGGGGGGACCAATTTGTTCAATAAAACCATACTTACAAATATTATATTGTAGTAAAAAAAATTAAATACACTTTAAAGTCCAAAAATTGAATTTTGTATTATTTTTTATTTCGCTGTATTTTACAAAATACTGATTATGTGTATAACCATTACACAAAAAAATCGCCCTAATTTGTCCTACACTTAAATAAATTTAATTTTGATTTGATTTTTTGAACAATTTACATTAACGCTTTTTTATCCCTTTATCACACAGACAAAGCATTTACATTTGTAATTGTTGTATAATTACACTTCCCAACGAAGATAAATAATTATTTTTTATGAAACTTTAATTGTTTTCCTCACTACAAAGTAACTTCAAAGAGATTTTAGATCCTTCCCTACGCTTCAAAAGTTTTTAACCTGCATCCATGAGCTTGTAGATACGTGTACTGTTACTGTCTAAATTTAATTTAATCTTCGTTAAAAGAATTGTACTTTTGTATGCAATAAAGTAAAAATTGAACTGACCATGTTTTGAATCTTATGTGAATCGATCAGTAGGAAATATTTTATTTTTTATGACTAAGCGGGCTATAAATTTTGTGCCGTGGAATTTTCTCCTCTGCCTACATATGTTAACTTGCGAGAGCAACATCACCCCTACAAGTTACCACGTTATAACATTCATCAGCCATGTACTCGAGGCGTTATCAGTCAAAAGTTGTGAGAGTTTTGGAAAACACATCGCAAATAAAATGTGCTAAACACATCTGCTTGAATATTACTAATCGACGCTGTTATATTAATAAATTCAATCCGAAATATTGCGCCAAATAAAAATTTACAGGCCAAGGTTGTACTCTCTCCCGGGTTTATGTTTCATTATTTTTAAATAAACCCTTGAGCAAGTTCCTTTATAAAAAGGAGGATGGTGCAGTGTCAATACGAAAGCTTCGCTAAAAGCTCTAAAGCAGTCGATAGGATGGCGGTTAGCATTTATCTGATTTAAGACTTTTTCTCTGCTTGTTTTTCTTTTAGTCATTTTTTATGTTCTAGATTGGTTTCTCGGATGGCCTCAGCATGGACACTACAATCGACAGCCTAACGACGACGGACTCAGCGAACAAGACTGTGTGGAAGTTAGAAGGATCTATTCTCTCCCTTCGGCCTCGGCTAGTGTGGCGTCGGCTTTTATGTGGAATGACAGAGATTGTGCTACGCCTAATTACTTCATCTGCGAAAGATTAATTAATGATGGTGGGTAGATTCATTAAGAAGCTGTTGTTTGTTGGTAAAACAAGTCACAACAACAAGCTGCAAAAAATTTAACAAAGTATCTTTACTTTCACTGAGAGAAAGAATGTCAAGCATTTTATGCTTCACCAAAAATTCAATTTTGAGAGTCGGATTTTGAGTCGGGACAATTGAACTTCATTTAAATCATTAATGATTCAACGAGAACACTTCTCCGAGGTATAACCTCAACCCCATTGGAATCAGTCGGTAATTAACCCGTCATTCCAAACATTCAAGAATAGGCCAGATCAAAGTTCTTAACTTCTTGGCTGCAGCACGTACTGCAATAAGTGAAGTGTTAAAACACGCAACTGCAAAGCACTCCCGTAATCAAATTACGAGAAAATGTTCCAGTTATCATCATTTCCAACATCTACGAAAATGGAAATTCAATTATTCATTTTTAATTGAAGTACGGTTCAACTTAGAACTTTCTTGAACGTCCATTTACTTTTTATGTATTTTGTCGTTTTCATAACAAAAAGATAAAAGAGACGTTTATTCGAATAACTCATGTGAGTAATGCGCATTGCAATTATTCTCTCGCTCTTTTAATTAATTAACAAGAATTGCGGAAAAAGAAAATGAATTTTGAGGTACAAAACATAATATTAAACTCCAAAATAATATATCAGCGTAGAGAAATTTACTTGTTTGGGGTGTCCTTCGACTAAATGAAACTACTCATTTTAATGCAACGCTTCGGAAACGTTTATTCCTTCTTCAGGCGTTTAATTAATTTAACACTTTGCATGATGGCAGTATGAACAGTACGAAGTGAAGAAAGTGTTAATTAATTTTTTCTTTAAGTAACACTCTTACACTAAAATTTTCTAATTCGTAACTACCCTAACAGAACAAATAAGTATTACACTTGTCACAAGTTTTAAGTAGATATATTTCATTAACGGGTAAATTCATCCTTTTCTCAAATTCAAATATTTATAGATATAACCACTCAGAGTGTTGATGACGATAATAAATTTGAATTAATTTAAACCGAGAGCACATATTCAATGAGATAATTGATATAATTAAAAATCTACTTATAAAATTAATTACTTCAGTTACAAAAACAGAAGATAAAACAATTAGGGCTTCATTTAAATTTCGATATTTCACAGTCAAAAGAAGAAATTATAATGACGTTTCTCAGAATACGATTATATTTTTTATAAATTCTTTATTCTGTAATAAAATGTTCAAAGCCATGCGTTGCCACGTTCACCAGTTATTTTCAGTTCAAAGCTTCGCTGAAAAAATATCTGAGATAGGCAGGCAATAATACGTTGAAGTAAGAATTGAAGAAACTAAAGATACAGGAGTATTTATGACACCAAAGTTGCTTTTATTATAAACAATTATTACAACTGAAGATTATATTTGAACTACGGCAATCTTAACTTTAGATTTCATTGTTTTAATCGGCCTTTATACCGTAATGCAAAAAAATTGAAACTTAGAAAAAACGTAAAAAAATACTAAAAAACAATAAAAATGCAATAAATGTAAAATATTTATGAGTACTTCTTTATTATTTTGATTTGATTTTAAATGAAATTACGGAAATCCAAATTTGAATGGAAGTACATTGTGTTTCTGTTAAAAAGTGATAAAAATATTGAAAACATGTTGTATGCAAATATACCAATCTTGTCATATTTATGTTTTCAAAAACAGAGCGTTTTCTATATTTAACTTATCTGCCAGTACCAGTGAAAACGTGATTGTTTCATATGCCCCTTTTCACAGCGTTGATGTTGATAAATGATGTACAATGGATCAAAAATAAAAAATATATTTAAGATCCATAAATTTCTAACCTCCATCTTCTATAGCCCGTTCCTTTCCCGAATACATTTCCTGCCATGAATCTTCAATGCGCTCAAGTCCGGATTCGCTCCGGACGCTAGTCTAAATTTAAACCTGGCACATATGGACGAAAACAAATCACGCCTAAGCCCGAATATGATTTACAGAGCCGTTGGAGGACAATTGGCCGCCAGATTGCAATAGATCGGTGGAACTATCCAGACAGCAGCCCCGAGCCGTTGTCTCTAGTCCCGGATTTCCACGTCATTATCCAGACAACACAGATTGTGACACCGACATCACAGCGCCTCCTGGTTATCGACTCGTTTTGGATTTCGAGGAGTTAGTTCTCGAAAATGAACCTTCGTAAGTATTCTTGTACTTCGTTTCCTTTTTTTATTAAAGCGAAGAGCGTATTGTTAATAAATTGATCGAGTGCTTTGAGAGGATGACCTTTTAGTGCTAACTCTCACTTTGCAGTTTATGATAGAGTGGAAAGGATTTTCATAGATCTATCAAAATGTTGAATACTTAACTTTTTTGTGGAAACATTTTCAATTGGCGGCTTAAAACCGTATAAGAAGTACGAGTAAAATCTTGAAATTCTTGTAATTTTACTACTTAATTAAAAGTTAGATTTTCTGAATAAGATAAGTACAAAAAATTAGCTGTTCACAGACAAATTTATTACAGCCACTAGTATGATTAAAAAGCGAAAACACATCGTTGGGGCTGTCATATAATTGATATTTATGATATCGGAAAAGGATATTACTCAAAACTCGCAAAACTCTTTTCAATAATAACACTTTTTTTCTAAGCGATAATTCATTTTCATTTTAAGAAGAACATATAACTTTCAATAAATCTGTACCTCAGCAATACTGATACCCAAAAAACAATGTGTAAATTTTAGTAAAGTTAAACAAACGAAAAGATATTTAAATAATTTTTTAAAGAAACTTTCTATTGCTCTGGTGCTTGAGTTTTCCCGACCATAGAAGCCCCTTGGGAATTCAGACCGTCTTTAAAATCCCTCAAAGACTGACACTAAAAATTGTCTATTTCTAAAACATGCTTTAAATATTTTTCTCTTAAAGGCAAAATGTAACGTTTTTGAAAACCCATCGCTATAATTCAAAGTTTTTTCACTTTAATAATTACAATCAGCATTAATATCGTAATAACGGCATCATAAATGTCATAATACTAATAATAGTATAAATAATGCAAATACATAACCATTTTTAAGCTAATTTTAAAATTGAGTATCCATTGATTTGTAATGATTGTAATTTCCATTAATTTAAATTTTGTTAAACTAGGATAGTTTTGTAAATATAATTTACAAACTACCCGTCCTAGGCCTAGATAATATTTTAGTTCGATTCAAGAGTCTAAAAATGGTGGATGCGCCGGGTTGTTTTTTACAAATATATTCACAACTACTGAAAACCGTGTTAGGTATTCTAAAATTCTAAAATGTAAAATGGGATGGATGTTATAAAAATTAAAACGTATAGTTTGTATTGTAGATAGTATTGTATTCACAAAAAGTACAAGTCAAAATCTGTGGTCATAATTTTTCAGTTAGAGATTTATAATTTACACTAATCACAGTCACAGTCACAAATAATCTTTCACTTAATACAATACACAAAAATAAACTAATCTCTTAAACTTAAAACCTTAAGATTGAAGAAAAATAAAATTGTGAAAAAATTATTTAAATTTAATTTGTTGTATTATTATTTATTTATTCAAAGTCAATAGTTCTCAACTAAGGCTGAAATTACAAAAAAAGTAATACAATATTTATTTATAACCATCTATTTTAAAAAGAATATTAAACCCGTAAAAGTTATGTTTATTTTGAGATATTTAAATATTTTCACATTAAAATCATTTATTAATAATCTACTGAGGCTGTCGCCTTTTATATGCATTTCATAATTAACGAGTAGCTTGTAATAATCCAGATGAAACGCGACTGTGGGCATTTGCATACATAACACAAAATACAAAATATTGCAATTTGTAAAGAAAATGTCGAATTTTATTAAATTAATAAACTAATTAAAATCAATCACTCAAACAAAAGGTGCTGTGAATACTTTTGGGTCCTCAGAAAAAGCATCAGTTACAAGCCAATGCAAATTAAGCTTTAACCCAAAAAATAATTCCCCATTGAGCATGTCAAAACATCTAAATCCCACAAAAAATTCTATCGCGCGGTCGATAAAGTTTCTGTTGATTTAATTTAAATGGAAATCCAGTCTGGTCCAGCGAGATGTTTTTAATTTTCTCCTTCGTTCCCCGCGGCAATAGTAATGTCCATTTTATGCAAAGTATTTTTTGTTACTTTGTTGAAAATTATGTATGACCATTTTCATGCACATTTATCATGTCGCAAAATTGCGGGCCATTAAAACACAATCAATGTGTGAAAGCTTTCAGCACAACAATCCAAACTTATGCTATCACGTTACATTGAAGTTAAATTTAGCCTCGTTTACATATCAACACAGAACACTTTATTCACACTCCCTTCTTTAAGTAGCAGCACTTATAAATTTTAATTTTTGCCAATTGATTTGCAGTTGCAGCTACGACTATTTGGAGATTTTAGAAAATAACAACGTTTCTTCGTCCATAAATTCAACTTCTGCGCGGCGTCTGTGTGGCGACTGGAGTTCCAAACTAAAATTGCTTCGATACGTCAGTAATGGGTCGAAACTGAAATTAAGATTCAGCTCAGATTATTCGCATCATTTCGGGGGGTATAAGGCGCGTGTCTCTATGGAAAGTGGTAAGTCAACTTTGAAAGTGAGACGTTTGAAAACGGCGTACAAACCCTCAAAAACCCCTGCGTTGCAGGTGGTTGATTAAACCGAATCGAACTAGATAATAATCTCAAATTAGTGTTAAGGCTCTTATTGCACGTTTCCTACGCAAAGAAGTTTCTCTGATGTGGGCTTCGCCGTTGGCAGTAGTTAACAGAATTAAATGCCCGCTGCTGTTTCCATTAGTTTACCCACAGCGTTACCTTCCATTTGGAGCAATTACAATCACATCCCCATTGTAAAGGGATTAATAACAGCAATTAATCCATGAGTAGGCGTACTTCTACAACTACCAGTAAATAAACAGACAAAAATTTTAATAATACCACGTAATGTGATCCATGATGCTAAAAAACGTGTGTTCTATATTCTAGAGTTGCATTAAAAATTACAAATCCTTACTATTTCGAAAAGCAGAGATAAAACCTCTGTAATATTTATTTCAATTTTCACTAATCGATATTTGCTGAGCAACATTTTTGATCCAAACAAACTGAAATCCAGGACCTTTGTCTGGACGTTTTCGTCGCCTCTAGCTGCACTTTATTAGAAAAAGCGTAGCTCGACATAAGCTAGATGTTCTACAACTCTCGCGGCAACAATTTCTTGCCTTCAGGAAAGTCGTTTTCTTTTAATAGTGCTTTTGCTCGTAATGCTCAAACTTATGCAATCAAGTTATCTCTTCAAAAGTTTGTTTTATGTTTAAACATATAATTAACCACTTACGTTCCGATACTTAGAGAGTTACATAAACCACTTAATAAGACTTTTGCAACTTGTGCGAGATATAAATCCAAGTCATTGCAAAAATCTTTTGAGCACAAATTTATTTTCAAAGTTTGGCGCTTCTCAAGCATTGTTATTACGGACAAAAGACGAACAGTTTTACTAACTCTCCCTTAAAACCTTGAATTTCAACACCAAAATAGATAGTAAACCAATATTTCAACAGTTTTTAATTTAATACTTGCTTATTAGTTAATCTTTTTTATTTTTTTTTACTAAACAGCAATTTTGTATTATTATTCCATTTATTGTAATTATATTTTGTTTCTCTCCGTATACACAGTGCCAAACAGTTAAAAAATTGTTCACAATCAAAAGTTGCATACACTTTTCTTAGGTATGACATTTTTTATTAATTTTGTTCTTAGTTTTCATTCTTGAAGTTTACTTTAATACCACTATTGTCCCTTTTACTAGTAGTCTTCCTACATAGCGATTACGGAGTAAACATTAACTTTACGGCGAACGGCGGTATGCTTTGGAGTGAAAAGTTCATTAATACACATTTTTTTCATGAAGCCAATTATCGCCACATTGCTTTAACATCTTTTGTAAATTTAAACGCCAAGATAATTTTAAACCACAAAAATTGAATTACTTTTGCCTGTTTTTTTCTGGTAGAAGTGGTCTGTAGAGCGCTCATGTTTAAATTTAATTAGTAGAATTGAAAAATCGGTTTAAAGTTTTGAAACAACAGACACAAAATTACGTATATACACGTTACAAAGACTGGATCTCGTAAACATTTAAATAATTTAAGGATTATAATAAAAAAAAACTGATTAGCAACAATGAAAAAATGTGTTTCTTTGCTAGCAACGCAATGCTCTGATGATCGCTTACAAATGTTCAACAACTCTTGCTACCTATTCGTAAGTTACCCTGAAGTGACTTGGTCGACGGCACAAGAAATTTGCAAGGGCAAAAAAAGCCAACTAGCGTCAATTCTAAGTACTGAAGAAGAGCGTTTCATCACAACGAACATTCGTAAATCTATCGATTATCGTACTAGTGCGCTTTATTGGCTCGGAGGTAAGTCCGAGACCGATTCTGGCTTTAAATGGACAGACGGAAATCCGATGCAATATATGGGTTGGCTGCCAGGACAGAAACCAGCTGACGATACAAACGTCAGGTACACTACAACAATCCAAAGAAAAAGATCGTCGAAATTGATATTATTTTCCAGATGTCTCGGAATTCAGTGGACTCCATCTCCAACACCGATGCTCCCTAGTGGATTTTACTGGAAGTCGCGTCGGTGTAGCACCCACGGTGGCTATGTGTGCAAAAAACCAAGTCAAATCTCAGGAGTCGGGATTAACTTTAACAAAACTGTAAACGGTTCAGAGGGTACTCTAACAAGTCCTCATTATCCAGACCACTACTATAACCATTTGGACTTCTCGGTGAGGATTATTGGCCCGGATAGGACCCGTCTCGTGGTGAAATTTTTGAAAATTGATATCGAGCACCAATTGGAATGTCTGTACGACTTCGTCCAGCTGTCAAGCGGAGGACAAATCGGCGACGCTGTGAAGTTTTGTGGGACCCATGACACCGACATGCATCGGTTCAACTTTGTGTCGGAGGGCAACGAAGCGGAATTGAGGTTCCATTCCGATTACTCAATATCAGGAAGTGGATTTTCACTGACGTGGCATGCCGTCGACGTTTCCGCATGTCCTTTGCAAACTCTCACGGCCAAGGAAGGAGTTTTAACTAGTCCCAACTACCCGGACTTTATACTGGCCCATTTAAATTGTTCCGTGACTATTTTAGCGCCAATGGGGAAACGAGTTTGGTTGGAGTTTCATGATTATGACATCGAAAGGACAGCGTTACGAGGTGAATTATTATTAGAAGAGTGATGAATGAATTTTCTTGTGATTTTTCTAGGAAGGGGCAAAAATGCGTTGCTCGAAGTGACCTTAGGGAGGGAGTCCCGACCCTTCGAACCCTTCGAATCAGAAACCTTACTCACCGAAGGCACTTTCCTCTCGGACGAAGAAAGATTAAAAATTAGTCTCCGCACCGGCGATCGACCCTTGGGTAAGGGATTCCGAGCAATTTACAAAATCATTACCTCGGCTCAAGAAGAGAAAATTATCAATCTCAAGCAAAATTCATCAGGATTGCTACTCCACCTTAATTATCCAAATAACCCTTCAATTAATATTAATTTCCTCCAACACTTTATCGCACCCTTGGGATGTACAATATCCTTGGAGTTTTTTCGTGTCAAACTCAGCGACAAGGAATGTCTGGATGGAAATGGCGCCATTGAAGTGTACGACAATTATTACGACACGAACGGAACCTCCTGGAAATTATGTTATGACGCAGATACGGAAGACGCTATCGCTCCCGTGACTCCAATATCGATCACTTCGTTCCTAAATACATTACATGTACGCCAGAAGAGTGGAGTTGTCGGTGTTGCCTTAAACGGAAGTCTTCGAGTTCAACCCGATCCAGAATTTAAAGCCAAACTCCTAAAACATAAAGATGATGAAGTGGAGTCATGTAGCCCAAATCCGTGCCAAAACCAAGGAAAATGTGTCACGAAAGAGCATCAGAATTTCTGCCAATGCACCGGCCATTTCATCGGTAATAAAAACACAAAATAAAAGACATCTACGTATTAAAAATCGATTTTTCCAGGACTCTTCTGCGCCTTAACCAAATGCGAATTGGAACCGTGTGTTTTCGGAACATGTCATTTGACCAACTCAAGTTACTCCTGCCAATGCAAAACTGGCTACATAGGACCAAACTGTGAACAAAAACGGAAACCCTGTGAAGGAAATCCTTGCGAAAGCCGCGGCGTCTGCATCGAACGCGGAGACAGCTTCCAGTGCCGATGCCATGCCTGGTGGGAGGGTTCTCGCTGCGAGAAACGAATGCTGCACATCCCATACAAACCTCTAAGTGAAAGAATGTTTCATGAGCCGTTTTGGCTAGGTCTAATGACCGTCTGCGTTGTGATGGGTGTTATCGGATTAGTTTGGTGTGCCAAGAGACACTTCCCCGAAAAAATTGAAAAACTATTGGCCGAAGAAAACGACCGAAATAGAAGCACAAGTACGATTTGTCGTCTTGTTTGCATAAAGGTTTTGAGTGATTTTTGTTTCAGTATCTTCACTGAGGAGTTCTTCGGTTCGCGAACAGCTAGCAGCAGCTTCAGGAGCGGCTTCCGTGACGGTGACCCCCAGCCCAGGTCCGACTGCGCCTCGATCCCTATTTGGCCGCCTGGGTATCCGCAAGCCATCCATCCTCAGCCTGACCAGTCCACACGCCAGCGGCTACGTTCCTGCCACCGCCCGAACGTTTAGTTTGGACGATTTGCTAAAACCTCTCCCGAGACGTAAGGCCTGGTGCCTGAGCTGTTAATGTCAACACACCTCTGTACTCTTATACTCGCTCACTCTCTATTTTTCTCTACTTCTTCTCTGTTGTCGTAGACCAGAATGCCATGTTCCTTTATCCTCACTATCTTGCGTGTGGCTGGTAGGTTGCACAGTATAATTCGTAAAACCGTGATTTCCGTCGCACCGACGACAGCTATTGTACATATAGCACAATACATGACTATTGTACATACATAAACTGCTTAAAAACACTGCAAAAATATTTAACTGACTTTACATGGGAAACAAACCAAACACAATTTACTCAAAGTAATCTTTTATTATAGCGCCTTAAATAAAAGTTTAGTACAGTCAATTAATTAACAATATTTTGCAATGTTTTGGCTTCTCGACGTTGAACTTGGTTACTGCTGGTGGCCAGAGCTTTATACAATAGTATGTGGCTTGTGTGACGATCACAACAAATATTCAAATTTTGCTGTTTCTAATTACTTATGTTGGAATGCGCGTAGGTACACCATCTCCTAAGAAAAAAAGGAACAACTCAACGCCAACCAAAAAGAATGCGGCTGAGAAGAAACAGATTCTCCAGCAATTAATATCGCCTGGTAATAAGCAATTGTCTCGCAAAGTAAGCCTCGGTGAACTAATGCAGATGAGCGAGAAAAAGATGAAAGACAGTGGCGAACACAAGCTAGACGCAGAGTCGCGAATGAAAGAGACGAAATTTGGCGAAGGTGACAGTGTTCAGAGTGCTTTGAACGATCCAAAACTAGAGAAAAAAGTAACGTTCGCGCGCTTATTAAATAAAGTCTCTGCTGAAATGAGCTCCGGTTCGGAGATGGAGCTTGGTATAATGCAGAGCAATCGATTAGGTTGCGTTTTCGCGCGTCCTTCGAGCACCCCTCCTTCGCCAAACGTTGATGCAAGATCTCCTAACAGTACGTCAAGTAACCAAGGTAGTGATTCGTTCACTAGCTCTGATCTCGCGATCCCGAGTGCTTTGAGTTCAAGTATTTCAGATTTTTTGAACACCCGAAAGAACAGTAGATTGCCCAACGGCAGACAAAAACCTGCAAGCGCCGATTCTATCCTTGCTATGTTCCGAAATTTCTCGGTGAGTTCAGCCGGGGCCAATTTACCTTCTTCGCTGAAGGTTTCCCCTTCTACGACACCCACCGCTTCGAGTCCTCAAGACGACATCGTCGGCGATGACGAATCGTCCACTTCGTCGATTCATACGCCGGTTTCGTTCTCAAGCGGGCCTCCTGAGAGTCCCGTCTTGCACCGACAAAGCCAGAGCACAATAGAAGTACCCGTTCTTGACCCTCTGAGCGCACACAAATCGTCTAGCAGCGGCAGTAACTTCCTGCATCCGCCCACGATACTCTTAGAGATACCGAGCACAATCAACAAGTGCCTTTCGCCCATTCGGGAGATGCCTACGCCGTTACCTTCACCGATACCATCGCCAGCTCTCACCCCCATTATGAGACGCAGTCACATCTCCTCCTCTCTGGAGGATGCTGCCGAAATGAGCGACGACAGAATGTCAGTAGAGCTTCCCAACATTTCCATCAGCGACGGCGATGACGAAGATATGCCGTGCACACAAGACATTGCTATCGATCCCCAAGCAGAAGACGGACTCATCTTGGAAGAAGCCGCAGCCATGCAACAGAACTCAACTCGAAAAGCAAAAGTAACTTCCCCAAAACACAAATCCTCAAATATAACAAAATTTCTTTTGCAGCATCGTCCTCCGCCTCTTAGTGAACCTACCGATTCTGATACCTCCCAATCACAACCTCTAGTGATTCCCTTACTCACAATCCAAACACCTTCTCCAACTCACTCAAAAGCGCCCTCACTTCTCTTCCCCGGCTCTCCTCCACCTCAAAAACCCCACCATCATGAACCTTCATTTCAGTTTCCTCCTTCAAAGCAAAATCGCAAACTCTACAAAGATTTGGACAAACCTAATTCTCTAGACCTGCCTTGTGCACCTCCCATGATTACAATAACATGCAATATGAGTGAAGCAGAATCAGATGCCGAGTCTATGTCTCCTGCTGCTAAAGCCGCAGGACATTTGGGAGGTGCATCAGCAGGAATGACATATTTAAGCCCTTTTTCCATTGCACGGGGCGAACACAACGCCTCAGAATCTAATTTAAGTTCTTCCGGGTATAGCTCAATGGCAAGTCCAGGTCCTTCTAGATGCGGTTCTAGCAATCCTTTGTGTCCCTCCGAAATGGAAGATCAAGGGCCTCCCGGATCGGGACCTTCTCATCGAAGACCTTCTCCAGTATTAAAAAACAATTCCAATCCTTCTGAACGGTCAGACATGGATAAGAAAACGGAAGAGCAAAGAAGAGGACGTTCTGATTCTGAAACACTTTCCGATGACCCTCTTTTAGAATCAAACGATGAAGGGATCGGAACTGATCATATCGAGGAGAAAATCGAAGAAGGTGATGTTAAAAGTGCGAAAGAACTCGAAGTCTTCATGGTTAGTGAAAGCGAAAATACTAAAACTCTTCTAGATTTGCCGCTGATTCCACCACCCACAAGACCAGGAAAGAGTATAGAAGACAACATGGAGAGGCTCCTCCCGCCTCCCCCTGCACCAGCTGGGAAAAAAACACTACAATTGCCATCAATAGTTGTACAGTGCGACGGCTCCGGATGTGAAAAACTGCTAAGTCCGATGAGTTCGCGTAGTGAAAGTCCTTTGAGTGATCGTAGCGGTTTAGATCGATTCTCCCCGCACTTCTACGGCAGACACAAAGATTTACTACCTTTCACGGATTCGGATGGACTTTACGACTTCTCCAGTACCGATAAAATGAACGTAATGAAAATGACGCAACATAAAAAGACGAGCAGGAAACGCGATAAAAAACTGGTGAGGCATTGTAAGACACCGAGTCCTACTAAACCCACAAACCCTCTTTTACCGCACAACCATCTAGACGTTCCCAGTAAAGACACCTTTTACAAAGTTCCGCCACCACGTAAATTGAGCCCGAAAAGAAGGGCGACGCGATCACAAATTGTTAGCTCAAGTTCTAGTTCCGATAGTATTCATTCGAATCGCGAAATTCGGATGTCTTCTTCTAGTCCTAGTCCTGATACTATAAGGTGGTCTTCGCCGATTGATTGGCTGGATGAAAAATGTCAACAAAAAGTACAAGAGGAAGACAATTACGACGTAATTTGAAATAATTGTCTTTTTTTGAGTGCATGATATTTTTTTCAGGATGCCAGTAGTGCGATGATACCAAAGCCGGCCGATGTTTCCAGGCATCAAAAGATAAGCAGATTAAGGGCAATTAGTCATCAAATAAGGTAATCAATTACACACAACTGACCCATTTACAGCAATGTCATTTGAAAAGTAAAATTTATAATTTTTTTCACTCTCAAAGATATTTAATATCTTTGAATCAAAATTTTTTAAACGAAAAATGCAAAATTAGTTTTTTTTTAAATAAACTCCTTTGTTTTCCAGATTTTTAAGAAGATTAGAACTTAGTTTAAAACGAAGAGAACGTACGGTCAGCCCGTCGGACAGTTTAGATAGCGGCGGCGACGACGATTCTCCCCGAGCGACGTCTCCTTTACTACAACAATCGAAAAGTGGAAAAGTTGAGATCCAAAAAAGTAGTAGCATAGGAAAACTTCATAGTAGTCAGAGTAGCAAAACAAAGCGAGGAAAATACAAGCGCGGTGAACTTTTACTTCCACAGCACGAAGAAAAATCGTGGAAAAGAATAGTTATAACAGGAAATGGTCATTCTGACTAAGTGTTTTAAGAAATGACACTAAAAAGAAAAATGTACTGATAGCTAATTAACGAAAAACGAATAAATCAATATATTCTAAAACATCGAACAATCATAAATGTACATTTTAACCTATGATCGCAATATTTTAAAAAGTGAATAAATCCTGAAGCTTGTTATACTTATAAACCATTTATCGAATTTACATATAAGTATGATTAATAATTTAATGCTCAAAAGCGCGTTGTTGTTAAATGTTGCACATTGTTTAGGTTTCATTCAGGCCCTAAAATTACAAAACGGCTAAACATGGCATTGATCGATAAACTGAAGCAATATTTTTTTAAATAAATTTGCTGTAAAAACCCCACTTCGAATTGTTATTGCTTTGGTTTCTCAATGAGTGCGTAACACGTTATAAAATTGTAATAAATGTAAATAATGTCGTCCATAACTTTCAATGATTCCAGCGAGGAATAACCACGGAAATCAAGCTAACCTGGTTCAAGACGAACACATAGAACGGCTTGTAAATGAGACTGATTTTCTACTATATTTAAATTTTAGCCACGGTTTCGTTCGTTACATTTGCACTATTCATGTCCAGTCCCACCCCCTACACGTTATTGTCATACGGGTATCGTTGTTTGTTGGTACCACTGTGATAGAACCATTACACTGTATGTAACTTCTACAGCAATATTTTGAAGGGAGCAAGAAGTCTTTTGGCACAAACGAGCAATTATGTAGTATTGCACACTACTACCTATTAATACTTTCTTTGTAACTTACTATAACTTTAAGAAAATGTCTTTCATTACGCCATGCGTCTACTCTATATATTTTCTATGTTGTTTATTTGCTGTATTCATCGAAATTTTAATAAATTGCTTGTTTTCTTAACAAAACATCTTTTTTCTCATAAATTCCTAACCCACTAAAACAATCTTCACAACAGTATATTTTTTATTCATAAATAAACATTTAACAACTTTAATAAAATAATAAAAAAGGTAACCAAATAAAAATAGTATACATAAATACTTTGGTTTTGAGAGAATAAACATTGATAGTTTTTGATTTTTGCCCATTCCCCAAAATTTTGTAACTTAAGTTGGTTTTGGTAAGTGTAATGTGACGCCACTTTTTTACTGAGATAAAATTTTGCGTCACAGCCAAAACAAAACTTTAATTACATTTTTTTTAGTTTAGATTCCACGTAAGTAATGAAGTCAGAGAATGAGTTTCGCCGTAATTTGTTGGGAACTGACAATACACACCGGTTGAATGGAGAAAATGCTTATCACACGTATGATTATTTCGATTATATGCAATATACGTTAAGTACATGTAATAACGAGAAACATCTCATGACGGTTAAAGGAATGATCATAATAGCTAATCTATTATAGAAAAATACGTTCTTTGCAGTAGATAAAAATAAAAACAAATTCACTAGAAATTGACTAAATAAATCTTCAATTGTCTTCGTCTGAACTCAACAACATAGTTTTTTCGGTGTAATTTTGCGATATTGTTGAAACACGAGGTCCTGCCGTTATGGGTGGTCTTGAGGGGTTATCTAAACTGTTGTAACACTGAGGCACCGTTCCTCCGCTAGGACTCATGGGATCGTCGGGGTCGTAAGTAGATAATCTCATACCACGCCCACTTTTTCCCCCTGAAAAGCCCAAATGTCATCACTTGTTTAGCTACAAAAACTGGACTAAGCATGCGAATGGGAAAACAGAACAGGTGCACACCAAACCATTTATTTAATAAAAAATAATACGTACAATGATAAAAGTTAAATAACTACAACTAATAAAAAGTAAATCAATAAGAATACAATACATATATACATTTTTAATACATAAGTACGTGAATTAGCACGGATTATAAATACAAGGTTAAGAAACTTAACGCGTAAAGGGGTAACGGTAAGCCTCAAGATCAACAACTAAAAATTATTCAACGATGGTGTCACTTTAAATTCGGCATGAATCCAATTCTTCACTCACAGTATGTACAAAATATTGAGTAAAGATTCTTCACTTCACTAGAGTCGTATTATTTAAAGAATAACTTTCACCTTACTGCAAATACATACTCGTAGTTCTAAATAAAAATATCACAACGTAACGTACAATTCTTTCGTACTAAAAATAAGGTCTTTTTTAATTTTGCACTCAACTGGATACATTTATAACTTTTTCTCAGAAAAGTATTTGTAATAGGAAAATTTACAAAGTGTTGTGCAGTTACAGTACAGAAATTACATCATCAAAAGCATTAACGATAAAATCCTTTATCTGAAGAACCCTGAGAGTATGAAATAGTGTATGGTGGGTACATCAGTGAGATGATATAGCTAGCTTAGCACCAGAGGCAGTCATGCAGCGGCATGCTAGCAACGTCACAGTCTCTCATATGGTTGGTGTGAGATGACCTCTGTAAAAAGCATTCATTACATGCAGCACATCTATTTACACATTCATGCGTCTATAAAAAATAACTCGTCAAAAAAACCTTTTAATTTGATAACAATTCATTTTTTTAATTGTAATATAATTCCAGAATACTTAACATTTTGACTACATTTTACATGCTATTTATGCAAAGTCAGTATTTACCTGAGCTATACTGTGTATATTGTTGGTACTGTGGATGGAAATTATGAATGGCATCGGTCATAATATCCTTGGGATTCATTGTTTCCTGAAGCACGAATATCAGAGTTAGACAAGTTCGAAATTGGAGTATTTAAACTTACTTTTAGGCTACTGGAAATACTTTGCATGGTGACTGATCGACCACGCGAATCGGTGACGCATCCTTGTGCATACACCCGATACGGAAAAGCGTACCTTAAAGCAATAGCGGCGCAAAACATTTCAATGCAGATCAAGAAATTTTGATAACCAGCTGAAACAGTACCGGCTGATGTTCGAGTACCGTTACTATCAATAATCGGAGAGATCACATTGGCTTTTTCCAAAATGGCTAAACCAACCCCTAAAAACAAACAAAAATTGAAAACAACTCTAATAAACATACATTGTTATTGTTTACCTTGCCAAAACGACAAGAAAATCACAGACTTGACTGTACAAAACTTCAAAACGGGCTCAAACGGCGTCAGAAGGTCTCTAGTGGCGAAGTAAAATAAAAACAGTCCATAGAGGGCAAGAGACACGGAAATATTATAAATAATTGTTACGTAAATATAGCCGCCGTCTGGACTCCAATCGCCGTCGTGATAGTGTCCCATACCTTGCAGGATTATTATAACGAAAGCCATTACTGGTTTTACTAGGCAGAATTGCAAAGTCGCTTGTTTGCAAAATCGGAGAAAACCGATCGTGTATGTCTTGCCGTTCAAACAACACGTTCCGTAAAGGCAACTAGAGCGAATAGGTTTGCCCCGAATTTCCGACATGATGTTGCCTTCACCTCCTAAGTATTCATAGCAAAGCGACAGGAAATTGTATATTACGAAAGCTGAAACGAGAAAACATTGCATCAAGAGAAGACAGATCACGTTTTTAGTTACCTTCATAACAGTCTCTCACGGTGAAAAAGTAGACATAATAGCTCTCCGAGTTGAAGAACAAAAGACTGATCCATGAGTACGTCGCGTAGATAGGTACTATAAATAAAATTCTCACTATCCATCGCTGTTCTGTTGGATTCGTGTACCATCGCAAATGTTGATAAATCTGAAAGTGTTCATTTTAAGTATACCAATTTATTTGAAAAAAAAAAAAATCATTTAAAAACAAATAAAAATAACAAAATGAGAAATATAAAAATCGAAGAGCGTGCCACGTCAACTAATAACAGAAACGCTCCAGAATTTTTGCTCACAAAATCAATAGTTATGAATACCTTCTACATCACGTACATGTTTCAAATTAAAATAAAATGAAGCACATGAAAACGATCCCAAACATTAACTTCCTTATTTACCAAAGCGTAACTGTCAAGGGCATTGCCAATGACGAACCAAAAAAGTGAGCCAACTCAAAATGGAATAAACAAGCTTTCAGTTTTCTCCTAGTTTCCAATAGAAAATGGTCTGAGGTAAAAAGAATTGTACAAAAAGAAGCATTTTATCCAACAAATGTGTGATATTTACTAGTAAATGATGCTGTTTTTTATTAAAATGATGAACTTTTTTATGCACAAAGTTCAAAGTTCAAATAGAGGTATAAATAACTTTTTCAACGCATTTCTTTATAAACTGCTTATTCAGTTAATATTTCATCACATCATGCGAGACATTACTCCTAAATGATTGGAAATACGTCTTATGTCATAGTTTCACTTTTCCCTTCATGTAGTCAAATTTCTTATATAACATTTTACTTCTGAACAAACACAGGAAATCCATGTCCGTTAACATAATCACCAAAACTGTGCGCCGTTAGTGGTTCTAAAATCGTGTTGCAAAAAACGACTCAAGTTTACTATTTCGAATAAAAAGAATACAAGGCGTTTGCTAAATAACTATATGAAATCCATTAACTAAATGTAAATATTTTGTTATACAACTTACCTGTGTACAAGTAACCAACAGAGCAGCCCATACAAATACTCCCGCAACGCCCTGAGCTAATTTAGTTTGAAGAAATATGGGTTCCGAAGGTGCCGAATGGACGTGATCTGTAGCCATAACGGCCCCTGCGGAATTTGTCACTAAACTAGCTAATGAAGATGTCGTGGTACTAGTAGTAGAAGTTGATGACGACATGCTGAAAATAAACAAAAAATCTCAACACACAAGAAATACTCGTAATGTACTCCTATAATAAATTGTTCAATTAAAATTTCGTTAATACTTTGCAGTAATTGTATAATAAAAGAAAGAAAAAAATTAAAAAGTATATCAAAACTGAAATACAACTTCGATAATAAATTATATACAAGGTGTTCTACACAATTTTATAAGACCCGTAATGGCAATAATTAATGTCAACATTCTTAGTGATTAGGACAGAAAGATTAGAATCATGCTTACACTTTCGTAGATTGAATACACAACATCTGTTTTTTTGAAAACTCATTAATGAAGTAATAATTAATTACAACCTTGACAACCATTGTCAAGGGTTTCTAAAAATAAGAAAAATAAATGTTTTTTTTTGCATATGTATATGTAGTGTTTTGTAACCATTGTAGTTTAGGGTGCATTAGCCACAGATCTTGTAAAATTATGTGAAACACCTTATATTATTACACAGGGTGACTCAGGAGTGTCAGTCTATAACTTTTTTGTGTATTGACATACCGTTTCCAACATCCGGGAGATCTACTTAAAGTGCACATTTTAAAAATACTTTTATTATACGCCGGGTGGTTAACCAATGTTATATTTTTTAAATAGTACATTCAATATATTTTCTGCTTAAAAAAACAATGAAACTTTGTGTAAACTATTATAGATCTATCTCTTTCCGATTCGAAATTATTCAACTTGTAATTTCAGTGGAAGCATCCTTTTTCTCAAATTGGGGAAAGGTAAATAAAAATTCTAAGTCAATCCCACAGGTTTTTAGTATTATTATTTATTCTTGGTAATTCATATTCACCTTTGTCATAAAAAAAACCGACCGATTAAAAAATCAATACTAAGTGGGCTATAATTATTTTTCCGACAAATTTGCGAAAGAAAAACTTGTAATTTTAGCAAATAGCCATGGCCCATAACGCACTTTCATAATCGAATTAAAGGAGCTTTAAATTAAATTTTGTTTAAATAGACTAACAAATTTTCTTGTAAATAAAAAGAACTTTTTTCTATTTCAGTGTCTAAATGAGCATTTTATGTAACTGAAAACAATTTCATAAAATGCAATTTTGTCACACTGTTTTTTGGTGACATTTCATTTTATGCATAACTTTGGCCATCATTGGCGTTGTTGTTCAACGTATTTCATCGAAACTAATAGGTCAAACGTCAAGAATTTTAACTCTCAAATATGTATAATAATAAATTTAAAAAGCGGTCAATAGCAAAAAATAGTATAAAAAACGCGTGTCACAATCTATCATTGTGAAACTTGTGCATTTGTAACACTCGCCACTGCGTACTCGTATCACAATGAAAGTGTTTGTAACACTTTTTTAATATACTATTTTTGTAAATCTCAAGAAATATTCTAAATTTACTATACAAACCGCATATCGTTAAAGAGCTTGTCAAAAATGCTATAGATACGTGAAAACAAATACACGGTGTTCTATTTTAAAAATAGTTATTCAACTTTTTGCGTGTTGGCACACCCTCTAAGGGTCTTGAATTGAAAGTTATGGACCGATTACGCACCCATTAAAAAAATTGCAGCAAGCGGACGTCTGCCAGTCGTACATAAGTTTTAATAATCTGTCATCTTGACAAGTGGATCAATGAATTAATCAAAGACATACAAAATATCAGTCTTAAAGCACTCTTAAGTGTTTTTTTTTATAAAGACATGTTAATTGAAAAAAATTTTGCCGAGCCACCCTGTACGTTTAGTAAATGTTTCATTATTGTTTTCGCATTTAATATGATTTGTGTTTATCGTTTATCTTTTGATATCACTAGAAAATCCCTAATCAAAATCGATGTAGTTTCTCTGAAAATGTTGCAATAAGGGTGTCTTCCTGTACATAAGTGTTCTGAGTTTATTATCATCTTAAAACTTCAAATTAAAGTTTAAAATATCATCTAATTTTAAACCTCAGAATTTTTGAAAAAATTAAAAGAAAGAGACAAAATCACGTTATGTAGAATCGAATTCATCCAATTCGAATAAATCGTCTGATTTACTAACAAACATAAAATACGTCTTTGCCTCTTAAAAAATTACATTAACTAACTCCCATTTTACTAATATTACTAACTAATTTGTATTTATAAATATAAAGAAATGAGTACTGCTGCTGGCTTTTTTTTCACATAATGTCATAATAATAATAATAATAATCTGTACGACATTCAAATGCTATCACTGACAATATTTAGGGACTGACCTCGCTTATATTAAGTCATTGCTGCTATAAATAAAACATAAATATGGTAATTGAACTTCTTTAATGTTGCACCGAATCAAATAATTATGACAAAAAAGTGCACTCTACCTAAACATTCTTTCAAATATCAATGAAATAACAATAAATTGTTAGACTGTAAGTAATGATAAACAAATGAAATCTTAAATAAATAATTTATTATAAATGAACCAATTACATAAACGTAAATGCATTGTAAATATTTATATTTCTAATGTTATGTCTAAATTCCATTATTACTTTAAAAAGTAGTTTAAAAGTACTATTCATTGACTTATAATACTAATTTAATAATAATAATAATAATAATAGTAATAGCTGATATCGTGCTTATAAATCTAGCAGAATTTTCAAAATCAAGTGACATGACTGTCAAGGACCTGTCAACAACAATGCATCATATGACGTTATTAATTTTAGTGAGAACGCTTCAGGAAAACGACTTTGGGTATTTCATTTACGTAAATAAAATGTCAGGCTGAGAATTCGTAATCCGAGACATTTCAATGATGGTTTTTCTGAAGGATATGAAATTCGAGGTTACGCCAATGGTCAACGATCTAATATCACTGTGTGAAAGGTGTGCCTTCACAAGATTTGCTGAAGTGTTCACATAATTCTTCCGTGTACGTATCATAATTACATCAAAAACGTTACAATCGAAATGCTTTGTTGTTACTTATCTATTTGTCAAATTTTATCTCTACTTAGTCACAACATAAATGACAAATTGAGGCACCTGTATTCAAAATAACGATTATTTAAGATAAATCTGCGTGCCACAAAAATAAATCACAAGGTCAAAGTTTTTATGTCGATTTAAAGGGTGCAATTACCGTAGCAAAGTTTGGCATATGGTTTACTTACCTGTACAAATTTCCAAACTGTCAAAAAGAAAATCTTGATGTCTGACAATTCTTACGATTTTCACCAATGTTTCTTTGACTCACGTTCAAATATATTATAACACCAAGAACACAAACATTGTGATATTAATTTAAGCCCTATAAAGGGCAATTTACTTCAAATCACAAATAACCAACACACTGCACACAACAGATTCCGCCATATTTTGCGATGCGATGACCTCTTTTTTTGCGCATGCGTTGCGCCAGCTCTTGTCAATACAAAGAAGGAAAATAAAAATTTAAAAATAATTTTTCTCATTCAATTAATTATTAGGCGTTTTCAGGTGCAACATTTACCTAAAAGATTCAAGCCAGAATTACAAAAAAAAAAACAGTCATCAGTCAACACTTTTGTGAAATATGGCATCTTTGATTGGGATCATTTCTGAAAATTAATGTCATGGTCATTTTGGTTTATGGTGGTCTAAAGGACATGTTTTCTGGTTTCATTTTTACACCACAAGGAAAGGTATATATTTTTTATTGTTAGCAAGGTAAATTGGTAAATTTTACATTGGTTTTAACATCTGTGCTCTTATTTATTGTGACTGTAGTACCTAGAGTCAAATTCAAAAAAAAAAGATCGGCAATGTCATTTCAAAAATTAATAATTGACAACAAAATTGATTTGATGACAAATTACCAAATTACCTAAAGCTACACTGGCGGACACAGAATTTGGACATCAAATTTATGTCAGTTCAAAAAATGTCAATGTAAGTCACGCTTTATTGTCATTATGATTGACGTTTGAAACTAAAATTTGAAAATCTTAGTTGTTTGGCATCGATTTTCCGAAACAATAATGCTAGCAATTTATATAAGTTTCAATAAATTATTTTGATTTATTTTTTTACATTTATGTCACTCGAATGAGAAATCGTCCAAAATTCCGTGTCCGCCAGTGTAAATAATTTATTTTTGTAAATTTAAAAGTACGCCCCTTTATTACATAGGAATAATTAATTTTATGAAAAAATGTCGCATTAACGAAATTTAAAGAGAATAGAAATATTGGGACCATGTTTTGGTGGTAATATGTACAATGGCGAGCATAAAATTTTGGTAGGTAATGTCATTTTGAAACTTCATCTTTTTGTCAAAAAAGTAGTTTCCCTGTGTAATTTTGTCAAGAGGGTAGGGAATGACATTGACTACTAAAATTTAATGCTCGCCAATGTGGAAAAATAAAAAACGACTTTAGAAATGAAATGGTAAATAAAGCATGGGTTTATGAATAAATTGTGTAACATCTTGTTTCTTTAAAAGTGATGTATGTAATAAAAAAGTTCTTGTTGAAGTATGAATACTTTATTTTCAATTATTACAAAGAAGTTTAAATCTTAATTTAAGTATCAAACAGAAATTTCTAATTCTAAAAAAAACGGTAACTCAAACTGGGTCACACCTGAAGTACGCGCCCCATTGGTTGGAATCTATGAACAGAAAATTGATATTTAAAACAATGTAAAAAAATTAAAACAAACATAGTAATTACAAAATCACACTATTTTTTTTATTGATAATAACGGCAATCACTGTTGGTGATTCGGAATGATTGAAGAATCCGCACTTCAAGTTTAAATTAGTTTTAAAATTTCCAAGGCACTTTTTTATAATTTAAAATTAGTCCTAAAAARGGAACTATAACAAAAATTTAACACACACTCTGCTAGAACAATRACACACTATTTATATTATTAAGGCACCTCTAGTTAAATCACAAAACATCTACACACGTACACATTCACATACATAATTACAATTAAGCACTTTCATACTGCCCGAAACACTTCTTTGCTAATTTCAATTTTAAAAAAAGTACTTTTAAAAAAGCTCCGTATGTAATATACACTTGTTAACTGTAAAACTGTTTATTTATAAAAAAAAAAATTGGTTGCTTTAACACCCAATTTAATTTCAAGTCAAAAAATCTACTGTATTACCAAAACTTATTATATTATTTTAAAGGTATTAACTATGCTGTGTAACAATTTCCTAGCTTTTTTAACATATTCGTGCCAGGTAATATTATTAATACGTTGTAGATTGTTGTTTCACATTGTTTCAGAAACCGTGGAATCCTGAAGTATAAATGAATCCATTATAATTCATCATGTTCATTGTTTGACTCCCAATGCATACTCCTTGAAGTTGTGACCTCATTTTCCGATAACCAGTAATATAACGACCAAATTTCCAAACTCATCAATTCCATAAGTACTTCACCGTGAAAAATTTCTTCGATCCCCAAGTCAATAACTGTTCCAATATTCCATGAAGGATGTTGATCAGAATCAATATTAAATTAGCCACATTCCAAAGTGACCATTTGTAAAAAAAAATATAATTTTCTGATGGTGAGTAATCCAATACTATTCAAATTAACAAATTTGCCATCTTCTTATATAAAAAAAAAGATTATGCGCCCCATATTTACGCAAAACCAAATTTCCAATTTAAAAAACCTTACTTCTGAATTAAGAAGACACCACTTTAGTAGCTAATAAAAGAAATTAAGAAGTTTTAATAGTCAGAATTTTTCAGGGTAATCAATGCAGTTCCACTAAACTTAATGTGTAGATCCAAAACAAGATTAGAGATCCACATTCACAAATATTGATTCGGAAGTCCAGGTGAAAATGAAAAATCCAAGTGAATTACTCTTCCTGCACCAAACATATAAAATGTTGAAATCTTATTCCTACAGGCAGTTGTCCCACCAAGTACAACAAAATTCTAACGAATCCAAGATGTCCTCGCTTTTAATATCAATTCCTTTTAGCAAATATTACCATTCCAATCTTCATGCAATACATCGTCGAATTGGTATGAAACACTAGAGTTCAAAGTTGTTTATCACTTTTATATTATTTGATTGCAATTCTATTTATTTTGCAAGTTATCAAATTTACGAAAATAACATCCTTGCGATTTGTTTTACCACATTTAAAACACAGCCAGCCTTTTGTTACTTTTTCAATAAAATACAACTGCTACTTTTTAACACTTACCATACACCAAATTAAAAGTTAATCTGTTAGTTTACAGAATGGCTCATAAATTTTTAGCGTGTTATTTTGTAATAACACGCATACATTCTTCTGGTTAAGGAAACTTTGTCCAACGATGACAGAAACCTCTTGTGCGTCGTTTGGTACAACAATCGCCTTTACACGAGCCTGAACAGAATCCACCTTCAGTACCACTTCTGTTTCCCCCAAAATCCGAACTGATCCTCCACCGAACGTTTGAATCCAATCTTCACTAGAATTCACGAGTAGTTTTAAGCTCCGTGCCTTTTCTTCTGTTACAGTCACAGTAGTGCATCCGGTATCGATAAAAGAATCCAATTCTTGACCATTAACCAGACAATTTTTAAAAAAACATCCATTGAAACCCTCATGGGACAAATGAGAATATAATACTTTATCCACCTTTCTTCTACAATTCCTCGCAATGTGTCCTCGATTCATACAAATAGAACACACCTTAGCAGCCAATGGAACTTTACCCTGGTGTTTGAATTCATTCCGCCTGATGAACCTTTTATCAAGTCTTGAGTGAACAGGAACAGGGTGCTTTGAGGGTGACTTTACGGATCGAGTCTCATCAAAACTTGCATTTCCTACATCGCGATAGTTGAATTCTTCAGTCCTTTCATCGTTCTCATACTCAAACATTTGTTCCTGAGTATTATTTCCTTCTTCATTGGCATCCTGCACACTTGGGGTCTCCTCTTGATAGTACCAATTGGTCAAAACGGCGTCCGAAGGAATTCCAGAGGGTGCGTAGTCGATGGAGTACTCAGGTAAAGCCATCAAAAATTGGGAATACAGCGTTTCTGGAGTAAGAAAATTTAGCGCTTTTGCTTGTTCTTGTATCGCCTGGTTGTTCAATCCGTCGATCAAACAGGAAACTGCGTCCTCTCCTGTGATTTTGCAGGCTTCAATGAGATACATCTTGCTAAAGTAGTAGGTCGTCATGCTTTCATCGGCTTGCTTCAGTCTTGTTACTAATCTCTTCAAAGTGGTCACAAAATCGGTATTGTCGGGAAACACTTTGCAAATTAAAATTTTCCATTCAGGCCATGTGTAGTCGTAATTGGGTAAACTGTTATACCACGCCTTTATAATCCCCGACATTTGAGACGCCATATATTGGATTGTAGTCTTCTCATCCCAGTTATTCTGAAATGACATCTCCTGTATCTTGTTAATCCACATGGAGGTTGTAAAACTGTGACGGCGTGGTTCCAAATAAAACTGCTTGTCAAGTCTTTCACTGGGTCCTTTTTCAGAAACACTTGGTGGTTCCACGTAAAACGGCCTGTCGCGTCTTTCACCAGATCCTTTTTCAGGGACACCTGGTGGTTCCACATAAAACCGCCTGTCGCGTCTTTCACTGGGTCCTTTCTCAGGGACACTGGGTAGAGCCTCTGGTGCACTGGTAGTGCTGGTACGTTTCATAAACTCCTCCAACATGGTCTCAAGACGCTCAAGTCGTTCCGCCGTGGCGTCGGAATTATTACTACTGACGCGGGGTTGCGTTTTGGACTCCTTTTGGTGATAGGCCTCGCTGTTTTTCTCATTTTTGCTCGACTTGTTTCCCGAGTCGCATTTCGAATTGTAAAAATTTGATTTCTTGTCCCTGTGCGTATGGTGTAAATACGATTCTTCGTCGGAGTTTATAGAACTCAAGGAGTCATCTTGATATTCGATTCCTCTTGATTGCTCCCGGTCTCGATCTCGCGGATGTTGACTGAAGCGATCGTAATCATAGGGCTGGATGTTATGGTGGTGGTGCTTCCGACTCATTTTAAATTGCAATCTCGGACTAATTCCTCAGTTTTTATTTGTTACATCAAAAAATATTTGCCACACTTACACAACTACACATCAACTTGACATTTAAGAAACTGAAAATTAAATTTCAAAACTGCCAATAGCAAAACGGTAATTCCCCATCAGCCTTAACATTTATTTTGTGACGTAATTGTAAAATTATGTCGAATAAATGTTAGCGGTTAGTAAAGTCGAGAATGTAATTTTATTGTGAATAATTTGCTTTATCATTAAACTTTTTTTTCTCTTCTTAAGAATGATAATTCTTTTCAATCATTGTGACCAACATCAAGTAGGAATTTCCCAAGTCAATAATTTGATAATGGGGGCTATTTTGACATAACTAATTAATATTGTTTTGTAAATAATCGTAGTAAAATTTCTTAAAATTGTTATATTTATTAAGTATTACAATAACTAAGACAATTTAGGTGCAATATTAGTGTCACGTGGTTTGCGCAGTCATATCTTCGTGGTGCTTCAAGTATTTTTACTCAGCAAATGCCAATTACTAACTGCCAGTTTAATGTGTATTTTTTTTATTTGAAGTGATATATCATATTTAGTCTAACAACAATGGCTCTTTTAAATTTAGGGGAGGATCCTTGGTAAGCCCTATAAAGTTATGAGACCCAACTGTAATCCAAAAACATTACTTTGTAGGTTGGTTGAATATGAGTCTTGTGAGAAATTATACAGAGATATCATGGAACAGCTAATGCAGCGTCAGAAGCTTTCCAGAACCAGTGATAAATATTCACATCTATCTGCAACAATTCGCTTGAGACTAAAACAATACAATAATGAAGTGGGACAATTAAAGCAAAAATTAGACATAACAACGAGAAGTGACTCTATGTAAAAGTGATGGTTTTGTTTTTGCCAAAAATTTTTGTTTTATTTTTTATAGAACCGCTGCTGAATCTGAAAGAAGAACAAGACAATTAGAAATATTACATTCAAATTCCATAAAAATGCAAAATTTATTTCAAAATCAGGCGTCAAGTAAAGCGCAAGAAGATAGAATAAGACTTATGGGAGATGCTGGGGCTTCTGCTTGGGGAGATAGTCAAACTCGTGATGAATTATCTAATTATTCAGCTGATCAGTTGAAAACGGATCAAAAACGAATGCTGGATGGTAATTGGACTAGAAATCAATAGGAAATAATGTTCTTAAAATTCCATTTCAGAACAAGAACAAGGTCTTGATAATTTGGCGCAAATAATATCACGTCAAAAAAATATCGCGCATACAATTTCAAATGAAGTTGACTTACATAATGGTATTTTTATATTTCTTTAAGTCGGGTGTCAAATTTGTTGTTTTTTTTTTAGAAATACTAGATGATTTGGGGACCCACATTGATAGAACCGATAACAGAGTTAGGACTGAAACTCAACATATTTCAGTCGTTGAAGCCAAAGATAAAACTTGCATTTATTGGGTTGTCATTATTTTATTATTTATAAGTATAATCGCAGTTGCAGCAATTTGACGCTTGAATACATTTTATAACCAGTTTTACTTACAATGTGATTTATATTTTATTAAACAAATACATATTCTAGAATGTATCAGTTTAGATTAAAACAGAATTTATACAACATAATTTATTATGGTTTTAACACAGCTGACTTAAGTTTACTTTAATTCATCTAAAAATGGTACAGTGCGCAGTTGGCCAACGGAAGCTATTGACAGTTTACCAGAAACAACTTTCTTGAGGGCCTAAAAATGAAACCATGATTATTACAACAAATATATCTAGAGTATAAACTTACAGCATTGACATCTGCTGTTGTGATAGAATCAATCTCTGCAACCACTTGACTTGGCGATTTCGCCGACCCCAAAACAGCCGCCTGACTTCCGAGAAAATCAATGGCGTTTGATCCAGACTCATTCTTCAAAAGGAGTGCTGATTTCAATTGATTCTTTCCTCTGTTAACATCAGCATCAGTCAAACTTCCGGCTTTCAACAATTTCACTGCAGCTTGAACAATTTTACCGGCAGTGGCCTCTGGTGCTGCGATCAACACACCAAAAATTCCAGCATCGCTGTAGCACGCATTAAACGTATTCAGTGCGTGTTTGCCATCTCCATCGCTACCAACAACCTTGCTCAACGCTCCGTTATCTACAGATCCCCATTTAACTTTGGGACCTCCACCCAGAGCTTTCTGTAGTACAGAAATTGCGAGGGCTTCCTTGGAGTTTTTCCAAGCAGCACCTTGACCAGCAATAGCAACGTACGCAAAGTCGCCCCCTTTATCTGATCTAATTTCGCCGCCAAAGTAAGGAGAGGCGTTGGTTGTACCTTCTCCACTTTCAAGGGCTAGCCCTTGGGCGTATTTAACAAGTTGTGAGTGGTCTACACCTAGACCGACAACTGCAGCGCGACCAGTAAGGAAGTTGCTGGCGACATAGTGTTGGAGGGTTTCAGATGAAACGTTTCCTAGATTGTATTTCGCGCTGTAGAGGGAGTTTCCAAGACCGCGACGGAAAGCGGCTTTGTGGACCAAATCAATTGCTCTTAACTAAAAATTAGGTATATTTTTTTTCGTAAATTCGTTTATGACGCAAAAACCTGTGGTGGTCGAATCGCAAGTTCAAGTCTTTGGCGACCCACATTGTCTGCCACTTCCCAAGGCTTGAAAACCTGTTGAGTTGCAACTTCTGTCAGGAAAGGTAATGTTTTTTCAACAGCCTTTCTGGTGKCTTCCAAAGTGTAGGAAACTATTTCGCGATCAGAAGTGGCTGTTAAACTGGCACCAGCTTGTTGAATATTACGCGTAATGGCAAACTGTGAGGCATTTTTCGTTGACAAGCCTGCACAAATGCGAAGAGTGTGAGTAACGCCAGAATTTTCATGGGTTTCATTGCGGGAACCAGCCCTAAAAGATACAAATTAAAAAATAAAGAAAATAAATAAGTGGACTAAACCTGAAAACGATGGAAATTCGCGAAATAGGGCACTCATTTTCGGCCGAAGCAACGACTAAATTGTTCGGTAAAGTGGTATTTTTTACTTCGTAATCGTGGATTCCTCCAATGGGAGCTGGTGGGCAGGTAGCGTAGCCACGTGCCTGCAAAAATCATAATTTTTAGGTAAAAATTAAAATGTTGTAGCGAGGGCAGTTTACATAACAGGTCAGGTAATTTTATAAGAGTAACATACGTACCGCTACAGCTCGAAGTATGGGAACTTTTGTGATATTTGCAGCCATTGAAATATGAGAGCAAATTGTTTAAATAAGAGTTTCGGGAAAAATATCTTATTAAATTTCGATTCCGAACATCAGCTAGACAGCGGCCACAACTGTCAAATGTCAGTTACGTAATAAAACAAAAAAATCCCTAACTTTCCAGATATATTTCACATTACAGATTTCTATTATGGCATTAAAGAGATATCTACATAATTTAAAAAAGAATCATGGATTGTTCAAGGAAAAGGTAGAATATTAAAAAATCTTAAATACATGCAAAAGGAAAATAAATTTAATATGTTGATAAGTAAATAACTAGTGAATTCAATTTCGTGCCGACAAAACGCTACTTGTGCCTGGCGCCACTGTTACTTCTCCAGACTGGCCAGACGTGTCCCTTTGAGGGCTCTAAAACAAAATATCAATAAACTGTGATAAAAATGTTGCTCCTATCATACCTTCACATGTATCTTGCTTTTTAAAACAGCCGCTCTTAAAATCAACATCCTAGTCCTCCTCTGATACTCCTTCCCCATCAATAAACTCCGCTCAAATGTAGTACTTCTTTGGTCAACATCCTTTGCAAATAAAATTTTATTATGTGAATCAATTCTAGCTTGAATTTGTCCATCCAATATCAACTGCATCAGTTCATCTTCCAGGGCAGGCACAGTTCTGTTAAACGCAATGGCCATCTTATGCATATCCGCGGACAAATAAGGACTAAAATACTGGATCAAAGCGCGGTTTCGTATTTGCGTATACAAAGTATTAATGTGTGGGGCGATATACATATCCAACAGCAAATTATCCTTAATTTCATCAAGCAATTTCAAACAAGACGCATACTTAGATTCGTAGAATTTAAAGATAATGTCTCGTAATTGAGGCTCCAACTCCAAAAATAATTTAAAAGAACTGCTAAAAATCACGTTCTTTTGCAACTCATGGCGATCAAACGTGGCCAAAGCGCACAATCCACCATACATTGCGACATTATTAGGTGAGAGTAATTCGGGAAAATCACAATGGTCCAAATTGGCTTGCAAAAAATGTTTAGCAGCTGATTTGTATTTTTTCGTGGCGAGTTCAGCCAGTCCTGCCGCACATTTCAGTTTGGTTACTATGACTTGATTAGAGTCTTTTGTCTGAGCTTCAGTAAAATCGGGTGTACTTTCAGCTTTGGACACATAACTCAGGACATGAGACCAGTTTTGCAAATAAACTGAAACTTTGATGACATTGAGACACATGTTCACTACATGTTTGCCACTAGTGCAGTAATCTCTAGCACGGGAGAAGCATTTTAAAGCGTTTGATAAGTCGCCGCAGTCCAAGTAGTGTTCTCCCAAGTCATCATGACCTCTCCTAATACTCTCTTTGATTGAGTTGGATTTATAACTCTTTAAGTCATTGTCTAGTTTTTCCAATTTGAGGGCGGCTTTCTTTGAACGTGTCTCCATCCAGAGGTTGTCTATCACGGGGATATCTTGAGAAGTGGAAGTGGCAGCAACATCAGGCACACTCATTGATGTTGTCACTTCTGCCAACTTCTGGTGCAGAACTTGGTACAAGTTGACATTATATGTGGTCATAACGTATGAAATGGCCATTTTTAAAGCTTCCAAACGCAAAGAAGGGCAATGATCGATAATGAAAATTAGGCGGTAGAGTTTGGCCAAACCGGAATAGCTATTAGCATAAACTTCAAGATCAAGAGAAGGGTTTTCGACAATGTAGCTTTCTTCTTCATTGTTGTCGTTATCTTCAGGGGGAGCATCCACTTGCATGGGCTCCACAGCGTTCTAAAAAAAATGTGTTATTTTGAAAAGTTCATTGACAATAAAGAATCTGGAGTTATTTATACTAAAGAGAAACATTTACCAGTGCCACAATGGTCTGCATTTGTAGAGGCATCTGCGTATTATTAATAAAATTTTCACCCGTCAAAATGTTTTATTTTTGCCTTCTTTCACATCGACATTCTCCGGTTTGGCGATCGGAACTACTTAACTTTGTAATTGGTACTTACGAACTAAACTTAAATTGATTACCAACTGTCAAAACTAAATATTTACTAGCTAAAATTACATTCGGCCAAGCTGATAACGTAATTGTTTGTATTGTTTTATATACATATCTCGACATAACCAGCTCTGTTTTTAATAATATATAAAAACTACGCCCAAATGGCCTAAATTTTATATCCGCATGAGTTGTAGTTCTTTTACGTCATTTAAATAAAGTGATGTGTAGAAGTGGAGACGTGAAATTATTAACTTTTTAATTAATATTAAAAAATGAGTACAAAAGTTAAAACTGTTGAAAGAAATGGAACCTCGAGGAGTGTAGAACTGAGATCGGTATTTACTCGAGCGATAACAGCGAATTCAGAATGGCCTGACAAAGTAAATTTTCACGTTTTTGAAAACTTTTTCTCTTATTTCACTGTTTTCAGGATGAGTTTCTAGATGTGATATATTGGGCGAGACAAGCAATAGGATTAATCCTTGGTATTGTTTGGGGCTTAATTCCATTGAAGGGATTTCTAGGTTTATTACTGTTGGTCTAAAAATTGCCTTAGATGGTTGTTTACTTAACTTATTTAACTTTTAGATTTGTAATAGTTAATGCTGCTGTTATATACTTCTACTTTAGTAGTTTTCAATGTGTTGATGAAGAGGAGTATGGGGGTGCATGGGAGTTGACTAAAGAAGGTTTTATGACCTCATTTGCAGGATTTTTGGTACAATATTTTAGTTTTTATATCAGCATTTGATGGTGGCTTTTTTAGGTTACGTGGATCATAATATACTCAGGTTTATACCACGATAGTGAACATTTATGAGGCGAGTTGTTTTTCCAAATATATTTTGTATCATTTTAAGCAAGAAACAACGCCATTTATTTTGTTTCTATCATCTTTGTTTTTAAGAAAAGGTAAATAAACAATGTTTTCAATAATAAACTTTTATTGACAGTATAAAAAAGATTAATACAGGAATGGAAGCAAACTTCATGTTACAAATTCATTAAAAAATACATAACACACATTAAAAACAGAATATAGAATATAATAGAATATAAAAGGGACTGCACTTTATAAAAGCTTACATAAATTGTAGGGCATAATTTTATTTACAATCATGGAATACAATACTTGCAATTAAAACGATAAGTAATGGAATGCCTCTCCATTTCAAATTAATTAATTTAGAATTTTTCACTTTAAATGAGATCTATTTTATTTTTGTAAATTACTGACCAATGTGATGTACTTGTGATTAAGACTGGGAATATAACTTTAAAATGACTAAATTAACTATTAAATAGAGTAAAGAGTAAATACTATAATCACACAATTATAAAATAATCCTTTGAGCTTAAATATTTAAAATTAACACTTACGTAACACAGGAAGCACATAATCCTATGTAGAACTTGACTGAAACTAGTTTGTTTTTTTTTCTCTTAATTTCAATAGATTGGTTTCAAAAAACCATTAATACTAGTAAAAGCTTATGTAATAAACTCGAAGTGGAAAACATTTGTGAAAGGTTTTTTTTTTTTCATAATTTTACAGAAGTTACTCTAATTTTTGTTCTAAGTGAATATTTTTTGAGGCTAAACGTTAGTTAATCATCTACTTATGTGTGCATCTTGAGTTTCACTACAATTATGATTGCTGTCTCTTCCTCTAGTAACTTCATTTGATGACCCTCCCGGCTTATCAAACGTTGTCGCCTGAAAACAATTACTATTTGCGTAAAAAACATTTTTGGATTCATTTATTTAAAAAAAGTAAAAACAATGGAAAAGTACCTTATAACGTTGCAAAAACTTGATATCAGCACGCTCAAAATTCTGTAAAATGCCTTCCAAACACAAGCGATAAAAACACAGGAGGTGCAACACAAAACGGAAATTGAAAAAAAAAGTATAAGCAATAAATTAAGAACAACAAAGTGGGAACACTCACCACCACGCTTCAGCTTAATTTCTTTGGTGACGCGTTTTTCAAGTGACGATTCTGAACTGTCTAATGTGTCTGCTGAGTCAGGTGTATTACCTGTTGAATTTATTGGAGAAGAACCATCACTTAAAAGACTTAAATCGGCAGTTTTAGCTTCGGAATTAACCATAGACCATGGTCGGGGTTTTGGAGCGACTGAAGGGCCCTTCGATTTTAAATGTTTCAAAGAATCATGTTCGTCTGTAATTTACCAAAGTGAAAAAATTCCTATTGTAATTATAATAAGTCACCTGTTTCACCCAACGTATGTTCCATGACGATATTCTCTCCCGCAATACTCCCATCGCTACTATCATGCGACATCATACTCTCCCCTGTAAACCTCCTCGATAGTGGCGACGCATTATCGGTATTTTTCCTTCCAAAACCCGGCGAAAACTTCTCCAAATTATCCGTCGATCTAGACCGCGGCGTCGGCGTCATCAAACCCCTCAACAATGGCGAGTTTCTGCTCAACTTTGGAGTTTTACGATCATCACTCAAAATCGGGGACGCGAAATCATGATTTGGACTTCCGTCAGCCTGAAATGAGTTGCAATCGTCCGAAGTTGGGGTTACCGAACCTGGACGGAAGAAAGTATCAAGACCCTCAACCAAATCTTGCGATAGGGGATCGGCCACGTCGGGGGGCTTCACTAGAGGGCGTGTGGGGGCACGGGTTTTAGCCCGACGAGGACGACCTAAGTAACAACAAAATTGTAAGTTTAGGAGGAGTTTTGGATATTTAGGTTGGGTTACCTTTGACTAAGTGTTGGAGTTGGTGTGTTGCACTAGGAAGTTCTGTAACGGAATCATCTTCTTCCGAATTACGACTGGAAGACGGTAAAAGACTGGGAATGTCGTCCGCTGAGAGGCCTTCGACGCTATCGACCACTGACTTTGGTCGGAGTTTTCGCCCGTGAAGGCTCTTTCGTTTGATTGACAGGTGAGGAGTTGCCTAAGTTTTGGTTCAATTACAATATTATGTAAGACTAGAATCAAAGCTACCAAAAATGTACATCGTGCGTTAAAATAAAAAAATACCCATAATAAATCAGATGATCAAGCATTGTTTAAACTTAACTACAGTGACCCTAAAGCATAAGGTTCACAGTTTCGTTAAAAAAATAGAATTATTTTACAAACCTTATACTTTAGTATCTAGAAATTCTAGTGCAATTTTACTGCAGTCAAAAAATCACATTATGAAGCCCCAAATCAGTACTTACTAGATTTAAGTATTCCAACATCTGCGTGTGTGATAAAAATATAATTAGAATATATGAAAAATGTGTAAAAAGCCGCATATCGATTCGTAAGTAACAAATGCATATAGGTATATTTCTTTCAAATTCACTTACAAATCGATTACCAAAATAATAAATTAGAAAAAAGCTAACCAAAGGCGAGTGATCCGACTGGTGACTACTATCTGTGATCGAGATGTCACTAGCACCGTGTCTAGAGCTACCTGAGCTGCTCAATCTGGATCGTCTGGGGGGCGAATCAATTCGAATAGCACTAGCATCCCCTACTAGAATTTTATAACTCCTCATTAACGCCTCGTAAACCTCATCAGCAATTTGTTCAGAAAGCTGACCCGCCGTAAGCAAATTTAATTCCCTAGAAACCCAAAAGAAATATCAATTAAAAAAATTAATAAAAATTCAGGTGTTTTATTGGGATGAAATAAAGGCTAGATATGTGCCGCTCGCTAGCAAATGAGTTCGCATTATGTGTATGTGCCGCACGCCTATATGTCACATGTCAAACTTTGAGGTTATGTTACATTTTACATTTCATAGAAGAAAATGGCAAATCCTGCACAAATAAAGCGACAAGCCCCTAATATATTAGTCACAGGCACTCCAGGTGTTGGAAAATCAACATTGTGTCAAAAACTGAGTGAAATCACCGGTTTACAATGGTTGGAAATATCGAAAATCGCGAAAGACAATAACTGTCTTGAAGAATACGATGAAGTTTACCAGTGTCCAATTTTGGACGAAGACAAGCTTTTAGACGGTCTGGAAGAAGTGATGTGTAAAGGTGGAAATATAGTTGATTATCACAGTTGTGATTTTTTTCCGGAACGATGGTTTGATGTTGTTTTTGTGTTGCGTACTGATAATACAACTTTATATGATAGACTTGTTAGTAGGGGATACACCGGCAAAAAATTAGAAGATAATATTGATTGCGAGATTTTCCAAGTGTTATTAGATGAGGCTAAAGCGTCCTACAATGTTAACATAGTTCATGAGCTAAATAACGTGACACCTCAAGAATTAGAAGACAATGTAAATAGGATATGTTTGTGGCTCCAACAATGGTTTCAAGACAACCAACAATAAATTTTTCAAGTTACCTGAGTCTATTCATTATGTCAACCCCCGCTTGTTGTTTAACACAAGTCATAACAAAATCCAAGGGAATTTGTTTCTTGTTCTTGCAGCTCTTTTTGATCTCTTGAATCACTTGTTCGTCATGAAGAATGTAGGGACATTGTTCTTTACAACACTTCAACATTTTATCCGTTGTAATCTAAAAAATGACTCGTTTAACCACCAAAAATTAAATTCTGTAAAAACTTTTACTTGCAAATAATCACAGATTGCATTGTGTATATCGCACGCCGCTTGTTGCAACTTTGTTTCAACTGGATGTCCATCATCTCTGTGTTTTGCAACTTCCTGCAACCTCACCAGCAACTGTTTAGAGTTTTCAGCGTCTTGTATCACACCTGATGCGTGATTTATATCGTTATTTGAAGTAATGGAATCAATTGCTGAATAACTTTTAATAGCCTCTTGTGTCTGTGCCACCAACCGTTCCAAAGCTTGTTGTTTGGAAGTCAAGAGAAAGCCCGGTTGTAACGGGAACGATTTCAACGAATTTCGTCGTAGCGTCACATTTCTGTTTAACAAATCTTGAATCTTTTTCATAATGACATCAGTTCGTTCGGCATTAGCTTTCATACACGGAGTCACATCGAAAATCGGAAAGGGTATATAATGCAGAGTTCGGTTGCTCTCCAGTGCATAGGCGATGTCGTGGTAACCTTGCAGCGTAATATTGTTACGATCCAAAATAATCGTTTTGAGTTTATTATTGATTTGCAACGCTTTGGCGAGTAGGCGGGCCCCCGAATCGCCAATCAAATTTCCGCTTATGTCTAAAGTCTCTAACGATTTGTTATCGCCGAGTGCATTAAGAAGATTAAATGTGTCGGATCGGAGCCGACAATCTGGAATTATTAAAGACTGGAGAAGACATTCGTCGTCTTGGAGGATCTGGACAACGGCGTCCATTATGGTAGACATATGCTTTTTCATACTTCGACCCATATGGAGGTGTCGCAAAGATCTATTTTTACTTATTGCTAAAACTACATTTGATAAATCACCGTCCATATCTGTAAAAATTGATTTAGTAAAAAATTCTAGTAAAAATAACGAGTTGTACTATTATCGGATATATCTAGACTAGAGATGCATCGAACACCATGAACACATGATTCTAAAACGTGAGCACCCTGACTTCCTAATCCGTTATTACTTATATCTAAACACATTTCTTTGGTAAATTCATTACAAGCCAATCCTAACAGCAGGTTTCTGAAAAAGAGTGTAACTGGYTTGGACTTTTAATTTTTAATTACTTACTTTAGKGCTTCTTGTGGAAGCTTGCAGTGCGACATATTAAGYTATTTAAGATTAAGTGTTGTGCTAAAAAACTGCTTGAAAGATATTGGAGCTTCTTTGCTTTTTTTACTACTAAAAGGATTCTTAGAAATATTTAAATGAACTAGATTTGTTGTACAGCCACGAACTAGAGCACCAAACAACTAAAAATTTTTTTAGAAAATGATTCGCAATTATAAGACATTTCAAACACTTACACTCTCCAGTATTACATCAGTGCTTGATATATCTACATGCTGAAGTGCATTTGGATGGGATAAAAAAGTGTGTAAATTCTAAAACAAAGCCTCGATATTTATGAAAAAAGAAATAATTAAATACTTACACTTATGTCATCTTTGAGACTATTGCCACTGAGGTTGAGATACGTGAGTGTACTCAATACACTTGTGTTGCTGTTAAGAGCCGCCGCTAGATGATTGACTCCTTTAGAACTGAGCCCACAATGAGCTAAATTTAAATGAACAAGTCCTTTATTGAGCCGAGAAACACAACCCGATAAATAATTAGCACCTAACAAACAAACAATGAGTTTTAGAAACCATGAATGTGGACTTACCTTTATCTTCAATGGCATTGTAAGATAAATCTATAGTGTGGAGGGCAGTTGCTGGATTCACTTTCAAAACATTCGCAAATTTGTTAACAAAATCGGCTTTTAATGTCAAGTTATCCAAATAGATTTCTTCCAAATTGAGAGACTTCCTTAAAACGTGCAAAATTCGATCCATGTTGTCATGGGACAACTTCACTTGATTTGCCCTTAACTTAGTAAACCACGTGTTGTATTCCAGCGCACTTATAATCGGAATCAAATCTCTGCAAGAGAAATTTGTGTGATGTTTACTTAAAAAATGAGAAACTGACTTTTGGTCCAAGTAATCGAAATCTTTAAGGCATAATTCTCTCGTGTTGAGGGATACGTAGATGTTATCGACATCCCAGGCAACTTCTTCCCGATAAGTCATGCCGTGAAAATCGCACATGCAAGCATATTGTGTTGAAAAGCCCCCGCAAGGCCCCACTTCGCGTCTACTACTGGCTATCGCTTCTAAATCCCTCAATTGTTGCAATCTGGTGTTTGGTATTACATCAATCTAGAAATTTTGCGTTGTGTAGTGTGCTAATTGATAGAAATAAGTTACTTTTTTGATGATGTGCTGCAGAGGGACGGTCGGAAAAATGTTCCTTATAGCGTTGTTTAATGCTGATATCATATTGTCTACTTCTGCACTGCATGTCGAATCGTCACCGGTTAAAAACGAGTAAACTTTATCATTAATCGTCAAGCTTAACTGATTGCCTCGTTTACTTTCCAACGCTTGTATTTCCAAGTAGTGGAAATGACAGTCAATCTTTAAAAATGTCGCACAATGAAAAATATTTAAACTCTCCTCCAGTACTTACTTTAGTTGGCACTTTAGCTGTGAGCAGAAGAATTCGACATGGGGAAAATACCTAATAAAACAAAACACTCGTAGAAAACTTTAAATAACAAGAACAAAAAATGCCAGATAATCGTGATATTTAGCTAAATTAATTTAAAAGATTTGATTTAATTTAGGTTAAAAAAAAAACAAGAAAAATAAAATAAAATTATATTTAATAACTTTTGTTACATACATAAGTAGGTATTTTACAAAAAATGCTTATAAACTAAATCATTGTTCCTCATTAAGTTTACAAATATCCTCATACTGAACCCCTGACAACGTTCGCCCCATTAACAACCCTGATGCGATTTTAATTTCAGCACAATATTTTTTTTCATCAATAGAAAGCAAAGTCGCTGTTTCTCCCCTATATGCCCCATTCACCACTTTGACTAACTTTCCAATAGCTGGAATGACAGTTTCTAAATGTTCTTGATCTAATTTTAATTTACGTCCACTATCAAACAATTTCACTATTGCTATGTATTTGTTGTGCACTTCTCTTATGACACCTTTCTGTTTATAATACTCGTCACCCAATGATTTTGTCATAACTTTAACTACTATATCTTCTGTAATCCAGTAATCTTTCCTGTTGGACTTTTCTTTCTTGATCTCTTCAATTTCTTTAATTTCATCCAAAGCTGTCTTTTTCCGGTTTTCAGTTTTATTTTTCTTAACGGTGCTTTTTGAAGTTCCTTCATCTAATGAACGTTTTAATTGTGTGAAAACAACTGGTTTAACTTCCTTTTTCGGTGGTGGTTCAAGCTTAAGATCTAATTTCAATTTTTCTTCTTCATTTTCTCTTACTAGCTCTGTGTATACCGGTTCATTTTTCGTTTGACCACGCTCCTGAGCTAATTGCACTTGCTTCTGCACAAATTCCAGAGTTCTTTCCTCATCATCCTTGTCCATTTTCATTTTTTTATTTTTCTTTTCTTCGCGTGCTATCGTTTCGGGATCACGATCAACGTATGTGATAAACCATCCTTTTTCCGTCTCATCCACCAAACATTTGCCAGTTCTCCCCAGCCACTTCACAAACCCAGTTAAAGTGACCCACCTTGTCGCATTCATGTGTAAGTGATTTCTATCAGAGATATACTCCTGATACACCCGATTTGCATTTACACGTTTTGTACCAAACTGACGTCGCAAAATTTGCAAATACTCCTTCGCAAATTCGTATGAAAAGTCATCAATGATTCTCTTGGAATTGTCAGCAAATAGAAGAAGTTGTCGCTGATGAGACTCGGACATGGTATGGCATTTAAAACCATTTTCGTCTCGGCATTGTTTCTGACACATCTGGCAGTACCATCGCAGTTTTTGAAGACCTTTTGCCTTCATCTTGTTGGCGATGTATTTGGGGGTACCGAACTCTGCTCGCGGCATTTTGAATAAAGTTGCAACACTTCAAACGCTAACACTAAAGTTGGTTGGTATATTTATACGTTCAATCACTTATTTATAAGACCACAAATTCACAAAATTTCCAAAAATTGAAAACAATTTGTGACAAAACGTCAATGTCAAATTGACAGATGCGAGAAAAAGTGGTGGGAGGAGATGTGGCGCCCCCAGTTATGCGTCAAATAAAGTAACAAAATTGGAGCGCAATTTAAAAAATAAACAAAACTCTAGATGTCTAGAATATCAAATAGGGTTAATTTTTTCACAGTGTTTGGTAATACAAACAAGAATATTGCAACACTACCACTAAAAATGTTAAATTTCTGGCAAAAATTTCATTAAAAAATAGTATCTAATCATATGTTTATTTTTGAAAACTGATATAATCAAACAGTAACAAAAAAAATCGAAATTATTATTTACAATCGACAATAATAAAGTGCAGAAAACAATAAAAATAAAAAATAACTACTTACCAAAACCCTATTCTCAGTCTTATCTCCTTTTGTTTCCAAACGGACAACATTTTTGAAAAGAATCTTAACCTTGTTTCCTACAGATGATTTTATACTCTCTGCAAAAAACGTTGGAAATAAATTTAAAACGGTACTGACAATTTTTGTAGGTTTCCATTGAATCAATTTATTAAACTTAATTTGAATAATTAAAGTAGGAGGTCAGTGGATCAACTAAATCAAAAATTGCAATAAAAACCTAAAATAAACATTAACATTCACATTTGTAAAGTTTATTAGGTTCAATATAATTAGTGGGGTTTTTCGACAAATTAAATCATAATCTAACCGTGAAATGTATGCAGAAAACTTCCTTAACATATTATTAATCATCAATATTGACACTCCCCTTTCAAGTTATTGTAAACATTGCTTTTTTCAATTTTTTAAAGAATTACTTCTTACCATTCAGGTCCTTAGTTAGTTGGGATCGTGTCGACATAATTTAAAAGCTTTAGACACGAGCACTTCATTTAAAAACCCTTTGCATTCCTCCTTATACTAAACTGCCAAAATAAAAAGATTTTTATTTAACTGTCACACCACTACTGTCACTGTCATTGTCATTATCGGGATTTTGCGTTATTTTGGGTGGTGTTAGTGGTTATCGCCAAATGCTGTTGACAAATTTACGTCTTTTAATTTGGCAATCCTGGAATTTATTGAAATCCATACATTTATGCATTTTTTATTTAAAAGATGGTTTTTCAATCCCTATAAAAATATACCGTATATTTTAGCATATTAACTGTTACAAAAAAACAAATTTTTATTAACAATCTTTCAAAATTGTTAGGGATTTTAGTCGCGGCGTTGCAAATAAGAGAACCAGAAAGTCACTAAACCTTTTATCCCGATGGAAAATCAGAAATTTTAAAAGATTGCATCAAATGTGAAAAGAAATGTCTTTGCTTGGCTTATTAACGACGGTTAGAACTAATATAAGATGTAAGTATTTTTCTAATTAAGTTTTTAGATTAGTTAACATAACCCCATATTTTATTCAACATGTGAAAACAACTGTCACACAAAATTTACGCTAATAATTCTACTGTAATTTAATTAAAGTTATAATTGAAAACAATGAGTGCCGAATTGGGTGATAATAGTTTCCCCAGCACAATTTCCAACTTGTTGAAAGAGGGTAACACAGTTCAAGCTGTGACTCTTTTCACTGACAACAAAAACAGTGAAGAGGTTCGTAACAATTCCTGGGACCTGGTGCCCATAGTTGCACATTATTTAACTGATGAATGTGAAACGAACAACATTGAAGTGTTTAAATGTTGTCAAAAACTCATCACAGTTATAGCAGAAAATTCAAAGCCAGAGGAAGTTTTGCTGCAGTTTATAGAAGAATTGGAAACAGCAGAAGATGATACCAAGTTTTTAATGTTGTTGAAACCATTGGAAATAGTGTTGTTGAGGGTCCCTGATAAAAGAATTACGTCGCTAGGGTGGTGTTTTAATGCTATTGTGGATTACTTGAAGAAGCTTGAAGTTCCTGAAGACTTGAATTTAGTAGGAGAGGAGCGGCTGCTTTTAGACTCTAACGAAATCGTCAACCGTATTGTTTATTTATATAACGAGTTGTTAAGTTTCTGTGATACATTTGTAAAGGAGTTGAAAAATGTAACTTCAAGTCAGAATATTGTTGAAAGAAAGCAAGTAGTTGGGAGATTTTTTGTGGAGTTACTCGGGAGACCATTGGCATTTTTAGATATGGTCGTTTATAAAAATACTAAATCAAAGGCTAGGCTGCTAGCTGAGGAATTAGTTACCCAATTTTGTTACTTAAATTTGGACCCTTATAAATTCTTAGAAATGTATAATGATAGCGAATTAGTCAAACCAAGTGAGTTATCTCTAGGTGTGTTTTACTATTTAATCTTATCAGAGGAAATTTGTCACAACTATCTCCCAAAAGTATACAATCCTGCGTACATTTTAAATTACTCCTTATGTTTTGTTAATAGTCTCTTGTCGCAGGATGGCCAGTTTGTTGTTGAAAAAGGAATAGATTTAGCAACAGCATTATTGAAAACTGTAGATCAGCTCGAGTTACCATACGTGTTACTAGACTCAGAATGTTATAGTAAATTTTGTAAAATTATCTCAAATATAATTGTACATAATGAATGTGTGGAGCTCCGCAAAAATGCCTTGCAAGTCTTGCACACATTTTTGTGGTCATTTGAACATCAGGGACGGTACTTGTTGGTGAAAAACTTGATCCGTAATATTACCCACAGCGGATTGAAAGGAAATCTTATAACAACTTATAAAGAAATGATTACACAGGAAATTAAAACAAGTGGCATCAAAAACTTGTCCCAATATTATGTCACTTACAAATTGTACAATATACTGGATGAATTTACGTTTCTGAAACAGAAGGAGGAAACAGATCTTGTGAATGAATCCGATCGTATCATCGCCAGTTTGAATTTCTTGCGTTATTTGGTCTTAGTTGACYTATCAGGCGACATCGGAATTGATTRTTATTTAGAAACTCTAGAAGATGCTTATTTTAAATTTTTGAAGACAGGGATTAACATGTCACAGGAACATTACCGTTTGAGAATTAAGGAAGTGACTGAAGAGGATGCAAAAGTCGGAAAAGAGGATTCCGATTGTAAAGTTTCAGTGACGGTGTCTGGAAAGGATTTAATTGAAATGCCAACCGAAAAAAAGATTGAAGTTATGCAGATGTCTTTAACCACCTTAGATGTTATTGATAGTATACTGAGCCGTCTAATAGAATGTATTAAAATTAAAAAATCAAATTAGAAGTTAAGTTGTGAAATAAATGCAATAAAAACAGTTTTAATCATGTGTTTGCATTGATTTGGTAACCTATTGTTACTTTCATTTATTGTAAATTGAACAACAGACTCTTTACTTTTTTATCGCAGAGGAATTTTTGCTGTAAAACAATGTGAAAAATGATTTTAAAAAATTGATTTAAGTCCTTGGTAATGAAAACAATGATCCTTTTAATTTTGTTTAATATAACTTAGATACGTACGCTGCTTGGACAACATGTAGGAAATCCTCTTCGCAATCATCGAGCTCGAGTCATACCGATTGTTACGAAGACGATATCAAAGAAAAAATTTTAGCTGCTTCCTTGCCCTTCGTAGTCGAACTAGGATGGTCTCGAAGCGCTCTGGGCGCTGGCGCCCAAGCCGTCGGCTACCCTGGAGTTACCCATGGCCTTTTTCCCCGCGGAGGCGCCGACTTAGTCCTGTATTTCCAAAGAACTTCCAACTTAAATCTAGTTGAAATTCTAAAAGAGGTACTTCTTCTAACGCTTATTTTCAAATATCCAATTGTAGTCTATTTTAGATGGAAATCAAACAACGCGAGTCGCCGATCCCTCCAGCCCTTTTTGTGGAAAATGCTCTCCAAAGCCGTTTGAAGATGATTATTCCTTATCTCAATCGGTGGCCACAAGCCATTGCCATAATGTCGCTGCCACCAAACGTACCTAAGGCTTTAGCGACAATTTTGACTACGGTCGATGATATTTGTTACTACGCCGGTGACCGGTCGGTAGATGTAATGACAATTATTTTAAAATTATTTCTCAATGCTTCCTAACGCCGATTCGTCCTAGTTCAACTGGTATGCAAGAAGATTAGGTGTGGCTGGTGTATATAAAGCGACTGAATTGTACCTGATACAAGACACTTCGCCTGAGTACGAAGCTACGTGGAAGTTCCTGAATAGGAGGTTAGCCGAAGCAGTGCAAATTCACGAAACTTTGTGTAAAATGGATTTGGGAAGCGCGGGACCCAAGGATGCAGTCACGTCTGCTTTTGTAACGGTGGGTCAGTGGAACGTTTTTAATTGGTTATTTAATTGTGTGATTGCAGGCGAGAAATATTCTAGGTTTGAACTGGAGTAGGTAGTATTTCAAATTTAGCTAAGAAATTAATTGTTCTAATTACTGTTGTTGGTATCTGTGAAAGTAGTTTTATATAAAAAATTACAATTTCAAACATTTGCTATGTTTTATTTATATTACAAATTTAAATATCTTAGTTAAATCTATAACAAATATTTTGACTCATTGATCATGTATTTTCAGTTCACGTATTACTCCGTGATTCGCAAAATACCAAAATATAATTAAATATACCTATTTGACAAAATTATAACATGTATATTTTCTCTCTAATATATACATTTGAGAAGGTTATTGGCAAATCATGTGAGTAATAGGAATAACAACGATTATAAATTCAGTCAAATAAAAAATTTCAAACAAACCTAATCATTATTTAACACAATAATAACTAAATTAATACAAAAGATAATGTACAAACGGTTCAAAAACTAAAACCTATGTAACAAGAAGCTTTGTGCAAGCTTAAACGTTTCAAATTTCCGAGTAATTTTTTTTTTGTTTTCTCAAACTAATCAACAATTTACTTGCAAAAATGATTCATTATTTAATTCTGATAACTGCAGTTGATACTTGCACAATACTGGATAAAATACAAACGGTTTTATCAGATTGATAAAAATAATTTCTCACAATAAGCTGTTCGCTAGTGATGATATATAAGTTAAAAACGTACAAGGTTTGATTGAACTTGGACATTTGTCCTTATAACAGTTCTGTACATCGTACGTTTCTGCTTCACTACAACAGATTTTTAATATATTGTGCAATAAAACAATTAAAAAAAACAATATTTTTAAATACGTCAAAAATATAATAGCAGGTCAGGTTATTTCGGTATAATTTAAAAAAGCTTTCTACTAACCGGAGGGCTTTTAATGCCTAATAATGCCCGTGGTACATACGATGGATTATTTCATATCGGCCTAGAAGAACAAAAATCTTTGAATTCAATTTTTTGCTAGCTATTTTAAATAATTTTAATCCTTTCTCTGACTAACTGATTTCTGCCGTACAATTGAAACATTTGTTCACTTATAATAAAATATAGGAGATTTGTAATTGATCTATTTTTTTCTCCTTGTTAATTTATTCCCCAAACGACAAAATTATATAAAAAAATAATGTACTTAGATAAGTTTCTTTAAATAATTAAGCAATAATTAAAGTCTAGGTATACTTTAGTACTTTTTCATCCATGTTCATTACATAAAGTGATTGTATTTTATTATGTGTTGGAAACAAATGAGCTATTTTGTTTATTATTACTCAGAAATTTTTAGTAGTGAAAAATAACTTGGATATCTTTTAATTTTTCTGACTAAGTAATAATCATATTCTAGATATACTTTACATAGAATAGACATTTCTCCTGATGATAAATATTTGAAATACTTTTGAACCACTTGTACATGTTTATAAACGGATATCTACAACTATTTTAATTATATTTTATTCACAGGACTAGCCAAACCGTAAAAATGTACTACCTGTCCGAAAATTTAATTATAAAAAAAAATTGTAAACGACGAATACAAAATTGCGGAAAAGTAATTATGTTTGAATTAATGACCTCTAAAAATATAAATAATAAAAATAACACGTACATAGATGGTTGAATGTTTGAATTAAAGTTTTTTAGAAAATTGCACTAATAAATGTACTGTAAGGTGTTGCAGTGTAATAAAGAAGGTGTGTCATTAATAACATCATTTATTTCACAGGAATTGTAAATGTATACCACATTTTCGGAGATAAGCAGTCCCTACGAAGTGATCCAGAAAGACTGAGTCTGTTGTTAACAGATTTGAAAGGATTTTTGTTAATAATTTAAAACACTGCAACAGGATACGGTTTTGCTTCTATTCGTACTAAAAAACAAACGTCATAAAAATGCAGCTGATAAAATTCTTAAATAATTTGTTTATAACTAAAAATTGGTTGGTTTTATTACATTAGAGCGGACGGAGCAATATCGCGATATAAATGTAAAAAGCCGCTCAGCGGTTAAAACCAAGAAAAATAGAAAACATCTGAATAAAATCTGAATTACACAATAAGTACATTTGCATGAAATTAAAAATACGGTTTTTCCAACAAATAGCCATGAAGCACAGTCGGCAAAGGCAATTTCGGTATATCATTCATATTAGTATATTGCCTTATAACAAATTTGCACAAATGTTTAAGGGACCTCACTTCTTCATACCTTGAAATTGGTTTGGTCAGTCTAACAGGAAACTCGGATGCTTGTTCACCTCTTCGCGAGTAACAATAAATTCCATTTTCGGACGTTTTCATCGCATCTTGTATTAACTCCGTCACAGTTGTAAATCCCTCAGCATAGGTACCGCACAAGTTGTACCTGCCGCGACTATACTCAATCCTAGCATGCATTGTCTTTCCTACACTGCGAAAACTAATACTAAACAAATAATTGGTTGATGCCGAATCGCGGACTAGAAACGTGCCATCGGGCTTAAATTGCAACTTTTCTTCGGCCTCGGCGGTGGGCATGGGCCCCCAGTACCAGTAACAGTTTGAAAGACTTATTATTTCGTCAGTGGGTATTCGGTGGGTGCGCAATTCGACAGGAGACGACTCGCGAGGCGAATCGGGTTGGGGCTCTTCCACAGGCCGCGTACGTTCGGGAATCGGCGGTGGCGTAGAACTTCTCAGAAGTGCACAATTTGAATGTTCGTAGATTTCAGCAACGGGAATTGTGGGTTCTAGAATTCTTGAGGTGCAGGGAAGTTCACTAATGGTCATTGGACGTTTTGCAGTTGTACTTTCCTGAGAAAACATGCAGCTTTTCACTCGGGTATGCATCTTTTTGAGACTTCTCCGAAAACTGTTCCTGTGGGATTTCGACTCAGAGTTTTCGAATCCCTGTTTTTTATAAACGTCAGAGTCAAAGTCTGACATTGATGATCGCTCCTGGAAGCGATTTTTTATCTTTAGGAAGCGGTGTAACCAATTTTTGGCCTTTGTCTTATTGCTCCCCTGTCGATCCATGTTTTGGATTAATCACAGACAACAGAATCACTACTTCAATAAAAATCTTATAAACCACTTTGTTAACAACAATCACCCATTATTGAAATAGACATAATTACGCCAGGGATAATTTAATAGTACTATTTTCGTTATCATTTATAAAGATTATTGCAAATTATAAGCTGTCAAAATCACGTCAAAATGCTGTCAATCTGAAACCTTTACCACTTCCAATACATATAATTTTAAATTCAATAATGATTAATACTAAAATAACGTTAATGAGTGAATTTTGCAATTACAAGAAAGCTTTATTGTGATTAGTAAATTTTTGTTTATTAGAACAAGTCTTAAGTATCTGACAGTTTTGTCAAAATTTGCCGTAGCCTGATCCACAAGTTTCAGTCAACAATGAAAGAAAAAATACCGAAAGAATTTTATTTGGATGAAAACCTCAGTTTTTTAAAATAATGTGAACCAGTTTTAAGGTGGAAAAATCAAGAATTGATGCTTTTTTAACCTCCTTTGCACCATGGAAGTGCAGGCAGCAAATCACGTCAAAAACAGAGAATGGACCCAGGCATTAGAAATTTATAATAAATTATTACAAAAACACAGTAACGGTGAAGAACAACTATTTTCTTATTGCTTGGACCGTTCAGAATGTTTTTACCAATTGGGCCACCATGAAAGGGTCATAAACGATTGCAAGCACATTTTGAAGTCTTTCAATGGCAAATACAACAGTACAAATGAACCTCGAACAAGAATCCAACTTATTCGTTCCTTATTTGCACTAAATCGTCTTGCAGGTGGGCATCTGAGTGGGCCATTGCTGTTTTCTTATCCCAAATTTGACTTTCAGAAGCAGAAATGGTCATCAAAGACTGGTTAATGATAGTCAAACAGTTGAATGAAATTGGAGATGAGCGAATCTTTCTTGAAAACGCACTGGAACGTTTCTTCACTCTGAATTCAAAGCAAAGTCTCGAACCTTGGCTAAGTAACTTAAACAAAAGTGTTTCCAAAAGTCAGTCTCAAAAGAAACTGGACAAAAATCAAGCGGTTTTTTGCATTTATTGCAATCTTTCTTTTAAAGATAGAGCAGAACTGACGGCACATTGCTTGACTCAGGAACATGAAACTATGATTATGTCGGATGAAGGTCATGATTGGTATTGGAGAGCTCCACCAAGAGGCTTTAAGTCAGATGCTTACACTCTTTGCGAAAATTGGAAGGAGTTAGGGACTTGTAGGTTTGGGCTGCAGTGTGTTGAAGCCCATGGAGAAGGTGAACTGTATGAGTGGAAGGAACGATTCCAGTATAGGGAGATGAAAATGTTGAGGGCGAAAGAAAAAGAACTCTATGGTAAGTTGTTTTGTTATGACTATTACAGAATAATAGCAAAACATGCTAGCAAGAATATTTTTTAGGCAAATCTTACACAGAAAATCTCCTTGAAAAGTGGGTCCAGACTCCAAACAGCAACGCCGTTATGTCCGAAAAAATCGTCAATGTTGAAGATGCTTGTTCTTGTCCTCTCTCAGCGACAGTCTCCTCTAAAAACAGCAATTATTCTTGGAAATTTACAATGAAAACCAACCAACCTTTGAAAGCTGTAGCTCTCCTTCAAGACACTCACCGGAACCACTTTAACTTATTCCAAATAATCATAGGAAGCGTGGAACAAGACATAAAAAATAACCAAGAATTTTTAGCAAACGAACAGGAAGCTGTCGCCGAGTACCACATCGTTGTTGCTTTCCAAACAACCATTTTTGGTACTTTCCGACAGTCAGTTGTTTTTGATTTTGGTTCAGAACCGGTTTTGGTGAAACACTTGTGCGTAGATGTGGTACCTGATTCAGATATCGACAAAATTAACGAAATAAGAAAAGAGATAACGCTTTCCATGTCTGAGAGGTGGACAAAAGCCAATTCTGAAATAGTCCCGTTTTTTTCGACTTTAGTTTCAATCGGATCTAACCATCAATGGGAGAAAAATCTTTTGATAATGTATCCCTACCCTCAAATTGAGAATTTTGTTTTATCCAATGCTACCGTTTCCGAGAAAAAGTTAACGAGGAATAATTATCGGGAAAGAATGCACGAATTGCTTTTCGTTGAAGAGATCGCAAGAACGAATTTAATATCTCAGTATAATTTGACTACAAGACTCCAAATAGCACATAGTTATCTGTTGTCCCCAAATAGCATGGCCGCAAGTACGGCTAAATATTCAGGAAATGGGGAATTATTCGCTTCTGTTTGTTTAGGAAAAGAGTTGTCCGAGGATACGGCGGAGGGTCGCTTGATCCTAATGTATTGCAACTCCGTTTATTTGCTTCCAAACCCTTCGGAAAATCGATCTGTGCGTAGAATCTATGAAGCCATCATCGAAGATAAAGGAAAAGATATGATTTATTTAAGGCTTTCCGCTGATACTGTTAAAGAACTAAATTTAACAACTGACACAGACTTGGAAGTTCAAATTCAATTCCAATTAAACCGCGTTCCGTACTGCGAGTGGCACTACACAATCGATAAAATTCGAAATTATAAATTAATCTTTCCTGATATTTTTGTTGAACCAAATATCCCATGGTCGCCGTCAAGACAGTGGTCATCGTCGTTGGATAGCCGTTTGAATTTGAAGCAGAAGGAGGCTGTGGTTGCGATAACGACACCGATTCATGTTAAAATCCCCCCGATTTTGGTGATTGGGCCTTTCGGTACTGGCAAAACGTTCACTTTGGCTCAAGCGGTTAAGGAATTGATTAAGGATGAGAGCAACAAGATTTTGTTGTGTACGCATTCGAATAGCGCCGCTGATTTGTATATTAAGGATTATTTGGATGTTTGGGTCGAGAGTGGGATTGAGAATGCGAGACCGTTGAGAATCTACTACCAGAAGAGATGGGTGGCGACTGTCAGTCCGGTGGTTCAGAAGGTTTGTGGAATTTTAATTCATTCAGAGAATAGAAATTATCAATTTCTGCAAAAATTTTTAAATTTATTTAAGTGTAAAATATTTTTGAAACAAGACCATAATTGACCATCTCTTTTAATAACAATGTTTATGCATTGTTATTATTAAAATTATTTTTAATGATAATATTAGTAATACTATTATTACTAAAATTACTTATGGGAATATTTCAAAACTTTTTTTTTGAATTCGGATATTCCTTATAATTAATGATTAATTAGTTCTTTAGTCAAATTGAAAAAAAAAACTAAAAATAGCTACTTGAAGAATAAAAATCGTCAGCGAATTATAAGAAAATAAATTAACGGAAAATTTTGAAATGAATTGAATCATTTTTTTTAAATCACAAAATAATAGTCTGCTTTTTGTGAAAAAATAGGAATTGACTTTTACGCATTTGCGTAATGTACTTATTATTTTCAGTACTGCAGTATAAAAACCATCGGTAATTCCCGCGAATTCCAACTTCCAACACTCGAAGACGTGGAAAAACACAAAATCGTCGTAGTAACCCTCTCAACATCCGTCTATTTATCAACGATGGGATTATTACCCGGCAGCTTCACGCACATTTTATTAGACGAAGCGGCCCAAGCACTCGAATGCGAAACGATAACTCCTCTAGCATTAGCAACAGAAAATACACGAATCGTTCTAGCCGGCGATCACATGCAATTAGGACCCGACATCTTCTCGAATTTCGCAAAAGAACGCAATTTGCATATTTCTCTTCTCGAGCGATTATATGATCACTATCCCGCCCAATTTCCATGTAAAATACTACTCTGTGAAAATTACAGAGCCCACGAAGTCATAATCCAGTTCACTTCCGAATCCTTCTACGACCAAAAACTAGTTTCAAGTAGCAAACAACCGAAACATTTTCGTTTTTATCCTCTTACGTTCTTTACAACACGGGGCGAGGACGTCCAAGATAAAAACTCAACGGCGTTTTATAACAATTCGGAGGTTTATGAAGTAGTAGAGAGAGTCGCCGAGCTTAAACGGAATTGGCCTCCAGAGTGGGGCGAAATCAACGAGCAATCGGTTGGGATAGTCACCCCGTATTCAGATCAAGTGTTCAGGATACGTTCCGAGTTGAGAAAACGGAAAATCGATGTTTGTGTGGAACGAGTTTTGAACGTTCAAGGGAAACAGTTTAGGGCCATTATCTTATCCACGGTACGGACGAGAAGGACTTGTACCAACAACAAGGGGGACAGTGAGGTGGATTATGGATTCTTATCAAACTCAAAACTGCTGAATACTGCGATTACGAGAGCTCAAAGTTTGGTCGCAGTAGTAGGCGACCCGATTGCCTTATGTTCCCTGGGGAGATGTAGCAAAGTTTGGGAGCGTTTCTTACAGATCTGTAACGATAACGGGAGTCTTTACGGCATCACGTGGACACAACTCAAATTCCAATTGGACGGAATCGAACTGAAAAAAGTCTATACTCTGAACCCTCTAGCCCCCGAGTTTATTCCCAGAAAATACAAAGAAATGATGCAAGAAAACGTCCGAATAACGAATTTTAATTTGCCCCACCCTAAAATAGTACCGACCTTTCCCAATGTCCAAAATAATATAAGGGTGGTACCTATGTTGTATCAACAGAGGCCTGCAATGACTCTTTCAGCCCCCTATGTCCTAAATTTACCAACGACACAGTCGATACCTGTCGCAAATGGTTATCGACCATTACGAATTATTAACCCACACGAAGTCCCACTAGTGGCTACGCCAAGACAAGTACCAGTAACTCATATTAACGTACCAACTCCTCCGGTACCAACAATCCAGAAAAATTCAGCATCTAGCACAAAACTGATACAATTTATGAATAATGTTCACTTCCCTGAAGCCCAAATGTTGAATGATTGTATAAGTTTGCTACCCCAACATATGTCACTGACTGATATGATTTTGCAGCCCCCTAGTGTACAGGAACGGTGGTACAATTACTTGAGGGTCTCTGCGGGTCTCGAGGCTGCAGAAAAATTTAAGTATTTGCTTCATACTATCAATCAGAAGGGGACTAGAATTGCTGATAATAATGTGTTAGGGAGGACAACTCCACACTCATCTTCAGATTCGCCGACTTTTAATTGGTACGATAGCCCTTCCAATCAGATTAATTTTAATAAACCGATTTATATGAAAGAAGTTGAGACTAGTAATTGGCCAGATTGTAACAAGTCAAATCCGTTGTATAAGCGACAGAGTCAACAAAATCGTGTTAAGGACTCCTCAAGTCAAAATGGGGTGAACAAAATGAAGGAAACTGATGTTCAGAGACATGTCAATGAAGATTTTGCCAATATGAGTATTACTACCACCAGTAATGATGACTGGTATGAAGTCTTTAAAGCATTTAGTGTTGAACAAAGCCGTACTAGCAGACCACTCAATAATTCGTCAAATACGACCGGATTTTACAATTATTTTTAGTAAAATCTTTTGTATATTGTACATATAGCTAATTGTCGTTGTTACGTGTTTCATTGTAGATACAGTTTAAGAAAGAGCTTTTTTTACGATATTTATAAGGATTCTATAAAATAATAGTATTGGTTCTACAAGTGTTTTATTCATTTCATAAAAGGTAACTACAGATCTATACTTCTTTACTCATAAAAAATAAGAATTTTATCACAGCAACCACTTATAATACTATTATAAACATGTATAACAAGAAATTCCTACAGCTAACACTTTAGATCGAAACGTCGCGACAAATTTAATGGTTTTTATTTCCCTTTGTCCTATATACCATCTTCCACGAACTCAGGTTAACATATTTCAAGGACAAGAAACACAAAATAGAGAATTTCTTATAGTTAAAGTTTTACGGTTATCAAAATAAATAAAATGGGACGACATTGAGCTGTTTTGTAGGATTTTCTTGCTTAATATTTGCGTTCTATATAATTTTAAAAATGTGGCAAACAGACCTTCCCTGCAAACAGTTCTGAAATAACTGTGATCCAAAGTGCCAAAACAAATAAAATATATGAAATGCCGACTTGATGGCTGTTTGGTAATTGGTACGGTTGGCCCCCAATTTCGTCAACATGGAATCCCATTGGAAATATAACAGCAGCCAAGCAAAACAAAACCACTGCAAAAATATCTTTCAATGTTACATTATGACCTTGAGGATTTTTTCTTACTTGCTGTAAAACCAACCCATCTTGCATACGGGATAACATTACGGTCCCATTGGGAAGAGGCGAGCAGAATAATAGTGGTCGTAATACAAATGCAACCCACAAAAATACAGACAAGAGCCAGCAACCACTCTGGTTGAAGATCTGGAGTAAAACAAACTTGTGGTCGGTTGTAAAGTGTCATACAAGTCCACATTAAACCCAGACGGGTGTCTCCTAAAGTAAATAAGGTGTGTGAAAACATATTAGAAATATTTTTTTATATTTACCTCCAACATCAGTGATAATCCAATCTGGCATCGCCAAACTCACAATCGCAAAAATGTCGGCTGCCATAAATAATGTTCCGGAAATTAGAGTCAACTTATCCATCGCTGGTAAATATGAACGCAAGGTAGCGTCCCAGTTAAAAAAAAATTCGGTATAAGTTTGTTGACGCAAAAAGTATTATTATTATTATTATTTTGTTGGTCTTGGTGATCACCTGATCACAGCATCACCAATATTACAACACGAAAATTCCTGTAAAATGTCAATAGACCTAACCTGTCATCACCTGTCAGTTGCCATATTTTCAAATAAAAATGCAAAACAGAAACATCATTTTGCTGGTTTTCATCGTAATAGTTTTGTGTTTTAAAGTAAATCAGTGCACGCACCTAAAAGGAACATTTAAGAGTAATGAATTTTTCAAATTTTTGGTTAAATTCGGTTTTCAAAAAACGGACAGACATCAGGCAGATGCGACGCATGGATACATTTTCGGAAATATTACATCTGACCAAAATTTTCCGGTCCCTGTCACATTTGCAGTACTGCAGAGACCGTATTTCTTAAAATATTATCAAAACAGAGTTTTGTACGACAAGGAGGAAGCATGTAAACGCATGTTTAGTAAAATAAGCACACATGCCTATGAAGGAAAATGTAAACCCAGGGGGCAAGATTATCTACGGAGAATTCCGTGTCCAAAGGGAAAACTCTGTCTCGACGAGGATAAAGCGTGGCGTGTGGTGAAAGGACATCAATTTACTTATGTGATAGAAGACTTCAAACAACCTTCGTAACTCCATTTTTTTTGTATTTTCACGGGTTAATTTGTAAAATTCTAGTTTTTGGTATGTCTCTATGGTGGCCTGTTATCTCAATATGACCACTTGTGAGTGGCATCACTATGAACCTCCATCAAGGCAATACACAATACATTATGACTTGTGGCTAGTAAATGGAAATCCAAATATCTCGTCTTATAATACTTTAACTTACCAGTTTTCGTTTGACCGTCAAAATACATTAGAACTCTACCTTCTGTTCTGGTTGTGTTATATGGTTTTAGTTCCTTTACAATGTCATGCTGTTAAAACACAAAAACACCCAGTTACCAAACTGTTCACTGCCAGTTTGCTCTTAGATTTTATAGCTCTTTGTTTAATTTTAATCCACACTTTAAAATTTGCTCTTGATGGAGAGGGATACCCAAAACTAGCAATGGCGGGAGACATTTTCGACATTCTTTCAAGGGTTGGTAAATACTTTATCGCAAACATTTTATCTCATTTTATAAAAATTTTAGACATCATTCATGCTGCTTTTGTTGTTACTTGCCAAAGGATGGGCTGTTACACGCCTGGAATTGTCATGGAAGCCCTTAGTTTTTGCAATTTGGTTGTGTTATGGAATAGTACACATACTTTTATATGTGTGGAATTTGGTAAGGCCGTTGTTATATCTATAATTCATAATCAAAACTGACTTGTTTTATAAAGACTGAAGTAGACATAATAGAAGATATTGACGAATACCAAACTTGGCCAGGATGGCTGATAATAGTATTTAGATCTTTAATCATGGTTTGGTTTTTATATGAATTGCGCACAACGATGTTGTATGAACACAACATGCAAAAATTAAATTTTTTATTACACTTTGGAGCGTCTAGTCTAGTCTGGTTCATATATTTGCCAATCTTAGCTCTAATAGCCCTGCATGTGTCAGCTCTGTGGCGATTTAAGCTCCTATTGGGTACGTTAAAAGTGGTATTAAGTCGAAATGTGTAATTTTGAGAGGAAATATTTGTAGGGATCACGTATTCTGCCGATTGCTTCGCATATTGCGTGATGGCGCATTTACTGTGGCCTACACGCTCCGAACAGTACTTTTTACTAAAAGGCCCTTCATCGGCGGATATTGAAGAATTGGACGAATTTAACGAAGCTCCACACATTGTGAACAATTCCTACTCATCACTAAGTACAATGAGTTCAATAGAAATTTGCCGATTTGATGAAGCACCTAAAAATAAAGCCGTCAGTGCGTAAAACTTTGTGATTTAATTTAATATGTTAGCACGACTAACTTGGAAATTATCGTCAATTTGTCTGTACATAGAATTGTTGAAAATTTTGACGTGCAGTTTGCGTATGTGTGCAAATATTGATTTATATTTACATGTTGTTGAGCGTATACAAATGTTTTTAATGATCTTATGATGAATATGATGATTGCCAAAGACTGTTATGTTAAATATTTACAAAAATTTATCATCTCATGTAGCACCTGTATATAGTCAAAGTTTAATGTGTTTTTACATTGTGGATATTATTTTTATTGCTCAATCTTTCGTTTGTAATGTTAATTAAGGAGTAGAAGTTGTGTATGTTTGTGTTTGTGTACACAATAGTGCAAAATTTACATTCTTTTATTGATCATTTGATCACGATTTATTGGAATTACGCTTGAAATTGTGTGTAGCACATGAAAAATTATTATTTTTTCTTCACTCACTGCGGTTGTAACTAACTAGTAATTTCTAGTGCCAAGTGTTTTTACAGAATGGTTACTATTTATGTTTAATATTTTCAATTACCTTTTAGTATTGGATTTTTGTACTGCCGTGTGAAACAAGTTATTTTAGTGCGTGATACATTGCAATTTCCTTTTATGTAGATTGTCAATTTGAAACATCGATCAATTTAATGTAAAATATTCTTATAACACAAATAAATAATTGCAATAACTGAAACATTTTTTGGTAAAGATGTTTGTGAGATAAAGTAAAGATTTTTTTTATTTCAAAGATTTATTAACTAGAAAATTCTTATTTTCTATTACTTATCAGAATCAGTTCATTGATCATAAAAATCCTACTAATTAAGTGACTAATCCTTGTTTCCTCTTTTCTTCATACTCTGACATACATTTTCTAAAATCAGAAACTTGCCGTTGGCATTTCCTCCAGTCTTGTGTTTCTGCTATGCATTCCTAAATAAATTTATATCAGAATAATTGGTGTAACTAATTAATTAAATATTAATTTAAACCTGGACTTTGTAATGATGATTAATACATCCGGTTTTCTTTAACATTTCTTCAACAGGATCAGTGATTTCTTGTTTTCCATGTGGAACACTCATAGTGGAGAAATTTTGATTTTATTTAACAACAATGAGGGATTATTTAATGCTAAATTATATGGGTAATTCGTAACTCACTTTTTATTTAGGTTATTATGTCTACAAAAAAAATTATATTTTAAAAAACTATTTCCTACTGCAATTTTAAAGCCTTAAAATAGGAACTAAAGAACAAAGCTAAATAGGTTGCTGTTGCTCAGTCATCAGCAGGCTTATTCTACGATTTCTATTATTTCTATGGCATTAGGTTATGTAATACAAGGAACAGAAGGCGGGAATGTCAAGCAAATTAAATATTTTCTTACTAATATTAAGATAGTAAGAAATAATAAATTTTGAAAACTCGTTTCGTTTACTGCTTTAAGTAAATTCAGTAATCAACACCTCTTATTTTTAGTGCCTAACTTATTTTACACCCCGTGCCCCATTACTGCCATTTCAAATTTCTCAATCTCCATGCCGACGGGCAACCATAAACTGGCAACGAAACAATTGTGTTTTTTTAATAAAATGGGTCACAAATATTTGATTTTTGTGTAAAAGAAAAATTTGTGTATAACAACTGGACCCCACTGATAAATTTAGAGCTAAAATACTCCACATTATCATACAGAAAAAACATGAAAAGTGGCTGATTGGCAATTGAGGTGGCATATGACATATATACGCCTAGTTGTTACACAGAAATCAGATGTTTGTGACCTAAACTCGCGGGCAAAATTATAGCATCACATGGGAAAAGTGATTTTTTATTGAAATAGCGCTTGAAAAAAAAATAAATGCATCCAAAAATTAATTAATTAACTAATTAACGTTAAAGCTTGTCGCCTCACTGGCAACGTCTATATTATACCACTTTATATTTTCTGTTCTCTGTACAACCTGTATTAGCTCTAAATAGGTATATCAATAAAGTCTAGTTATAGCAGATTTTTTTTTATATAAAGAACAAAAGAATTTCACTGTTTGATTAAAAAAAATGTGCAGTCCAAAATTAAGAGAAACTACTGAGTTAGAATAATGAAGTTTTAATTACAGATTTGCTCATTTTAGGAGGTAAAGCAAAAAATGTTTATCCTTTCCAGTTTTGGCGCAAAATCAAAGATTTTTTTTTCTCCTCTTGTAAACTCACTCCGGAGACATTCTGTATAAGTGTATATGCGCAACATAATATGTACTATTATAAAATGAATTACTCTTTCTAAAAATGTAGGTAAAGTAACACTGCGAGTTAAATGTGTTTTAGTACATGTAGGTATTATGTATGTGGTTTATGTGGTATAACGCATAACCCAAAAAGTAATTAAATTAATATCAACTAATCACGTGTATGTGCACACATTGGGTCATAAAAAGAACACGACATAATTGTTATACATATTACTGTATTTACGTAATTATAAGTTGAAATTGTCAAAATACTGATGACCTTCTCTCAAAAAAATAACTACAAATCATGTTTTATAAAACCATTAAGATAGATATCATCACCAGTCTTTCAACATTTGGTTCTTTAATTTTTTTTTTAAATTCCACATAATTATAAATGTGAAATTATAATACGAAATGCATTACTACTTTCTCTTGGTCCATTTTTAATTTAAAAATGGCGCATATTTCAAATTTCTTCTTATTGCCAACATAGAAAATTACGCAATTCCTGTTACACCCCTTTGGCAGTTGTCAAAAATTTCCGAAATGTTATCACTGTTATCAGCAATTTCTACTCCTATGAAAAATAAATGATCACACATTAAACCAATAAAATTCTTATCTAATCACAAATGGAGACTAGCGCCAGTTTATTTCGAATTGTTCACATGGTAAAGTGACGTAGTGGAGGTGTGTGCTTGCGGTTAACAGTTTTGAAGGTTATATACGAGAGGTAAGTCACAAAAATACACATTTAAAAATATACGCGATTCAAATCGTAATGTCGATTTAATTAATAAGCTACTAGTCTACCTATAGTTTTTTACTCCACTCGTGTCATTCAAACATTACACATTTAAGTTTACTAATAAAATTTTTATTTTATTTTGCAAAAGTTATAAAATTAAAGTGTTTTAAATAGTGTAAGCATTGCGAAAGGTTTGGGTGAGTAATAATTAATTCATTTTCCATTTTGCAATTCAAGTCGTAGTAGAAATATCGAGGGCAGCATGAATATATGAATCGAAAAAATTATAATTTTCGCGCCAAATATTTCGAAAAACACGCACCTATTTTTTGTGTGTGCTCGGAAATCAGAGGCTAAAGTTCAAATTCAATTGTAGTGATAGTTGACTTTAGATTTGTGGGTGTGGAAAAGAAGTTTTTTCTTTGTGTATAGAAATGGTTTCTTCAGATGAGGTTCCTCTAATTGGAGTAATAGACGCCGGCACTAGAACGGTCCAATTTTGTGTTTTTCGTAGTCAGCATACTCAGGAAATAGCCGGTCATGCCATAGATATAACTCAACATACACCTCAAGAAGGATGGTTTGAGGAAGACCCAAATGAAATACTTCAGGCGGTGAAAACCTGCATGAAGAACGTGGTGAACCAGATAGGAGATAAAGGTAATAATGATATTAAAATTGGGATTACGATGTTGGGTTAACAATTATCTCGAACATTAATATATTATCGTTTCGGCTTGTTAAGTTTTGTTATTAAAATGACAATCACGCTTTGTAGCCTGTAAAAACATTACAACTATTGGCATTACCAACCAGCGAGAAACGACAGTTGTTTGGGATAAAACAACAGGGCAGCCTCTATATAACGCAATCGGTAATAATTTACCACAGCCTTTTTGAAAAATAAAATCATAATGCTTTTCTAGTTTGGAATGATATCAGGACAGATTCCACCGTAGACATAATTCTAGCAAAAGTACCTGAAAATAATAAAAATTACTTTAAGCCACTTTGCGGACTTCCAATTTCGCCGTATTTTAGCGCGTTTAAATTGAAATGGCTAATGCACCACGTGCCTGAAGTAAAGAAAGCGATAAAGGCGAAAAAGTGCCTTTTTGGTACGGTTGATACCTGGCTATTATGGAACTTAACGGGAGGTCCAAATGGTGGACTGCACATAACAGATGTCACAAATGCCTCAAGAACATTCCTAATGAACATAGAGACTTTTCACTGGGATCCTTTGCTTTTACACACCTTCAAAATTCCAGAAGAAATACTACCGGAAATTCGCAGCAGTTCGGAAATCTATGGGAAAATTTGTGGGGAAGATTTTCCCCTGCAAGAAGTTCCGATTTCAGGAGTAAGTGCCATTATTTTTTTAAATCTTTCTGTTAACTAATTCCATTTGAGTGTCACATTTGAATGTCCAGTGGACCCAATAAAATTTCGACCTTCGATTTTGAAACGTTATAAAATTAACCTTTTAGACTGAACTTTACATTATCTTTATCGTGATAGTAGCCAGAAATGATTGTTGAAGACACAAGATATGCGATAAATGATCTTATCTGATTTCATTGTTTATTAACAATGTATGTGTAATATACTCTTCAAACCAAGTATCAAAATATTTTTAGCAGAGTGTAAACATTTAAACTTTAAAGTATTGTTGTTGACTAATGTACTTTGGGAGTTACTTTGATTGGGTATTGTTTTATTTAAGAGAATAGCCTTATACAAATAAAGCGAAATCCTCAATAAAAATGTTTCAAATAATTTTAGAAAAAAGCTCTAAATAATTTAGCACCTGGGTGATAAATAGTTCAGTGGTTAAATGTTTACAAAAGGCAAATACATATTCTTTATAGCTCTATTTTCATAGTTTGTTGTTTATTGTGGTTGTTTTCCATAACTTGCACGAATACCAAAAAAAAACTAATGATATCTTGATAATTTTTACAAACGAATGATATAAAAACTCTAATGCCTTTTTAAATGTTTATTTATTTTGCTACTAATTTGTTATTTTCCTACCTGACCCTGAAACTGATATAATTGCATATAATGATGTACTCTTGTAATAAATTCTATTGTCAGTACGAGTAGTTTTTGTAATAGATTTTAGGTAACCAACAATCGGCGCTAGTAGGCCAAAATTGTTTCAAAGAAGGTCAAGCAAAAAATACTTACCGTAGCGGATGTTTCCTTCTATATAATACAGGAACAAATGTGAGTCTTCTATGAGAATAAAACAAAAAATTCATTAAATTTTTATTTAGAGAGTACAATCTAGTCATGGTTTGGTCACGACAGTTGCGTATAAATTCGGAGATTCTTCACCCGTATATGCCTTAGAAGGTACGTTTGATTACATACGAGTAATTGGGGAAACAAAGTATTAATAAATACACTTTAGGTAGCCTTGCCGTTGCCGGTTCTGCCCTATCTTGGCTCAGAGACAATATGGGTTTCCTGAAAGACGTCCATCAAGACACCGAACATCTCGCCAAAGAAGTGTTCAACACTGGTGACGTTTATTTCGTCCCAGCTTTTACAGGCCTTTATGCACCTTACTGGCGGAAAGATGCTAGAGGGTGTGTAAGTTTCTTTATTTTCCGAAATTTGCCAACATTAATATTTTCTCGGTGAAAATAGGATAATATGCGGGTTGACGGCGTTTTCAACAAAGCAGCACATCATCAGAGCAGCTTTAGAGGCGATCTGTTTCCAAACTAGGGATATTTTAGAAGCCATGAATAAAGATTGTGGTATTCCATTAACGAAGTTAAACGTGGACGGGAGATTAACGAGAAACGATTTATTGATGCAGTTACAAGCTGATATTAGTGGTATTCCTGTAATTAGAGCTCAGAGTCAGGATATTACGGCTTTGGGAGTCGCTATTGCGGCTGGACAAGCGAAAGGGATCGAAGTATGGGATTTGAATGCAGAAGACCGAGAGGTAATTCCGAGTGATACATTCCTCCCTACAACGACAGAAGATGGTGGGTTTTGTTAAAACGTTTTTTCCATTTGTTTTATTGACATTGTTTCTAGAAAGAGACTCGAGATATACGAAATGGAAGATGGCAGTCCAGAGGTCACTAGGTTGGGCAGTTCCTAAGAAAACATTCACCATGACCGGTAAATTTTCATATTTCTATGTAAACTTTACATTTGAGTAAGTTTTTAATTAGTATCATAAGATTCTGTAAAAAATTAATCCAGTGATGGATTGTTTATGAAAATTCTTTGCGCATTATTATTATTATTGGTAAATATCACGATTTCTCGTAACATTTGGGCTATAACTTAATTAGTAGGAAATTTAACACTAACAAAGTCGCAAAACTTTCGCAAAAAGTTGTAACATCATTAGGTTTTGAAAAATTTTAATAAAATGGCATGGTTTTTAAATTCATTTATTTACTTTTATAAGAATAAATTGATAAGAACATGCGTCTTTTCGCTTTAAATTATTAAAGTGAAAACAATTTTAAGAATTAATTAAATTAATCTCAATTCCAGTTATCACAAAAATTTTAGTCAATTATGTCTTCCAATGTTTTCTTTAGAAAATAATTCATTAATTATCAATGTTTTCCCAATTTATTTTCCAATTAAATCATTGTTTTTCAGAGGAAAGATACCGACTTTTGGCTAGCATTCCAGGGAGTTTATACATTATCGGCAGTTTTGGCCTTTTGGCCTTGTCAGAATATCTCGCAATTAAAAATTTGACCTAAGTAACAAAATTGGCGTTTTGTAGCTATTTAATTTTTAAATAATGGCAAAGGACACAGTAGGTTATTTGTTGATATTTTATCTTTATTGTTGTGTACTTAATTTGCTTTGTTTGGTTAAAATAAATCTATTAGTAAATATTGTGTTTTATTAAATTGACATAAACTCTGCCCATTGTGATGAATGAGAGTTTTAATAAAAGTTTGTTGAAATGGTTATTATAATTTATTTTTAATTATACATAAGAATTACATGGCGAAATATTTACATGAATAAAAAACATATAATAATTCATTTCAATCATCTATATACAGACTTTGGTTTGACGCTTTCCTGAGGAAACAATAATATTTACACGTTTTATATAGTAAAAAAACACCGGTTTCGGAATTAATCAGTAATTATTACTGTAGAAGTTTTACGAAGGTAAAATATGTAATAATTATACGTCGTAAGTTGTACTATTCAGTATCAAATAAATTGATCAGACTTATGTTCGCGCCTTAAATTGTTAGTAAAAATAAAATCGAAGCGTATATTTTTCATAAAATGACTAAATACATAGATATGTTAAAATACTTTTTAAAGCATAGCAAAATATTGCATCATATTGGCTAGTCAACTGGTATGACATTAACCCATAGGAATAACAACATCCAATGTCCTTAACAAAAATATTTTTCAAGATCGCTAAAAGGACTATAAAAATAACAGTTCCAGATCACGATTTTTCGAAAAACAATTTCGCAAACCACCGAAACAAAATGTTTTTAAGGTACTGTGTGAACTATTTCCTGTCAAAACACAGTAACATTGACGATCAGAAAACTGATTTGCCTAACATCGATTTAGAATTAGGACTGGACATTAATCACATTATTAGCAAATTGAAGTCGCGAGAACAATTATTTTAAACGATATTTGCTAATAACTGTAACACTGATCGGCACTAATTACCATGTTGCTATCCTAACTTCGTCCCAAATTCGTGCAAAATATCACAAGCCATATCGACATTATTCCTCGTAATCCCCAGCGCTTTTATAACAGCATCTTTCGAATAACCCTCACTAACTAACTTTTTAATGTAATCCATATTTAAATTTTCGTACGACACGGTACTGTCTCTCTCAAGCGGGTTCACCCTGTCTCTATGCTTCGGCGGCAGCTCCAAATCAACATTTTCGTAGACGGGATTCCCCGTTTGATTGCTGCTCGAATGACTAAAATTCGGAGTTGTGCTCGATTTCACCGGCTGATTGCTCATCGGTTTATTTCTCGATGTGGGACAACTCAAATGTCTCGTTTGACTCTTAGTGCTATCTATAATATTATCACAATTTGATATAACTACACCATAAATCGTTTCGGGTGAGCTTAGTTCTACATTATCGTTTTCGGAACTTGGATTTCTATGCATCTCTAACATAGAATTACTTTTCGCTATTTGAGGTATCTCGATCATGTTTTGTGTTAGATTGGTAACTGATTGCGCTTCATTCATACCGTTATTAGTAAATTTGTGCCCGTTTGTGCTATGTAAACCGTTTCGCAGCGAGATATTCGAAGTCGTTGGCAGAATCGTTTGCTCGTGAGTGGGCGAATTTTTCCGAGGAGGCAGCGGGGGCGGGAGTGTGCCTATCGTCCCGGGGGTGATGTTCCGACGCACGCAGCGGGGGCTGCTCCCCGGCGATATCATCGGACTCGCCGACGCCTAAACAAATATTTAATACCATTTAAACAAGGAAAAACGCTCTTTCTTCTTTTTTTAAAGTATGGATTAAATTAAAATATGCATTTTTTTTCGTTATTTCTGTCGAATTCTTGTAATTAACGATTTTTAAAATTGTCAAAAAAAACTAAAAGATTATTGTTAGGAAACTCAACTTGATAAGAAAAATTCTAATTATATTATTTAATTGAGAAGTGCACAAATGTGATAAAAGTTGTAACTTACTGAAATTTCGCTACGAGGTGACAGTGCTAGAGCGTGTAAACTACTTCCAGCGCAAGTCCACAACTCTCCAACATCCTAAAACATGTGCGATTAAAACCCCTTGCTATTTTAAAGAACAATTTATTTCTCTTTTTCGCCATTACACAAATGAAATTGCAGTGCTTGGCTACACATGCTGTTATCATTTTTTTAGGAGGGTTAGACTTTGTTTTACAAAAGATGTACAAACTTTAAGCAAATGTGAATAATCACTTACCTATTTTATTCCTAATATCTAATGATAAAGCCATAACACAACACATAAAACAACCAATTTTTTGCACTACTAAGAAGGCCCCTTCAGAATACTTTCTTTAAGCATTTTGTCTTGTTTTCAGAACGTGTATATAATGTTTGGATTTATTTTGTTTCTGATCCGAAGGGACTACAATACATCCAATTCGATTTGGATATTTAAAACAACCCAAAACATGAGTGTTTGAATAAGTTTTATTGAGCTTCAATTTTGGTTAAATAACTTAAATGTATAAGAAATATACTTTTATTTTAAATTTACTCATAAAAGGTAATTACAAATCTATCAGACATGATCAACTCAGATAGAAGTATCTGCAAGCAATATTAATCCTTTTCGCTGTTAATTAATAACGAATCAACTAGCAACTATAATTAATTATTATTAATACATAATTAATTATTCAAAAAATCACAGGGACGTTAATTGAGTTGCCTATCTCGCATCCTGAATGCTGGTTGTGCTTGTGTGTATGCGCAAAATACCGTGCGATCAAAAAAATAAATTAGAGTAAGCGGTGATTAAAGTCCTTCAGATGGCAATCCTGATTTTTGACATCAAATGTCAGCGGAAACTTTGACAAGTTTGCGTTTTATTCCTTTTGAGTGAAATGATGTTCACTTTAGAGCAGAAAATTTTTATTGCTGTACAAGAGGAAAACGGTGGATGGTCATTTTCACTTTCAGTTTGTGTGAAAAATTTCCAGTCCAGATTCACAGCCAATGTGTTGCCAACTGTAGAATTTAATGGACGCCTACTCTATTTTTTTTTGTTTGATCGCACGGTATCTATCTACTGAGTACTGACATCCATATTAACATTTGGTAATGGAAAAGAATTCTTTTATTTATTCGATGATTTTATTTAAGGCTAAGAATGTAATACCATTATTTATAAATAAAATATCCAAAAATTCATGGAAGCATGATATTTATCCAATTTATAAATTTTCTTAATAAACACTGAAACAACAGGTAAATAATGGGCAACTTTTTTGTATATCTTTATCATTTACAGACAGCACAAAAATGGAACAAAAACGTTTTGGTGTGAAGATAAGCCTCTTAAACGAGTTAAGAACTTTTCAGTCAATGTTAAAGAAAAGAAAAATCTTGTATATGGTAGATTTAACGTCAAGCACTGGGACACATCCCGACATTGAAATACAGACAGCGGGAAATCATGTGTGTATACCACTCCCAGGATTTGCAATTTTTCCAGTCACAAGAGCAAATTACGTAAATATAGATAGTCAAACTGTTTCTCTGGCGGTCAATACAGTAGTTGAAATTACAATCAAATTTCAATGCGAACAAGAAAAAGAGGCGTTTAAGCGAGATATGTTAGTAAAAGCAATCAATAGGTGAATAAATGAATAATAACATTAATTTTACCAATTTCTTTTTATAGATCTGCTAACTGGACCCCAAGCCTTGCGCGGGAAGGATGATGCCATTAAGGCTTTGTTTAATTTTGCATTAATGTTTGTATTTAAATACACATTAATTATGTATGACCTATTGTAATAAATAATATTGTCATAAATTTTTATGCAAACTTAAAAACAGACCGAAAAACCTTGAAACTCAACATAGCAATCTCATGATGAGCCAAAGGCGAATTTAAACTTTTTTAATAGGCTTTAAAATCAGGGAAAGTCTTTGGGAAATGTTGCTTTTTAAAACAGGGGTAAAATCCTTAAATTTTAAGTGTTTTCAAAGGTGAATTCGCTTCGCTCATGAGGAATTTGTTTGGCTGATGAAATCGTTATTTATATGTGTGCTGAAGTGGCCCAATAGAAAAACAGGTCAAAACGCAAATCTTAACTTTTAACAAAGGTACTTTGAAAAACGGGGTAGATTTGATAAAAGAATGGTGTGCTGAAGGGGCCTACTAGTACAAAATTCAAAACGGTAAAATCGCATATAATCCTAATTCATTAATAAATACAGTTTTACATCAATTTTAGAGACAGGGTGTTTTATTCGTCGGCAAAATCTATCATTTTTTTTTTTTAAAGCGTTATCTGCATACATGAGTTTGTAGAGCATAGCTTCTACCTTATAAAATTAGGACTAAATCATTCGAGTATTTGCTTTTTAAATAGACCTTTAAAAACAAGGCAAAATCCTTAAAAAAGCAAAGTGTTCTGAAGGGACCTTACTAGTACAAAATTCAAAACAGGGTAAAGTCTTTGAAAAATGTTAATTTGAAAATATACCTTAAAGTGTTCTGAAGGGAACTTCTTAGTAGTTTTTGCATCTAAACAGCTACAAAAATAAACACAACCAATACAAAAATATTTCTATTAGTAATTGTATACTGTTACGCATAGAAATGTATTCTTAAAGTAACAAAATTTTCGACAAATTTTGGAAAAGTACATAAACTGGAATCCTCATAAAAAATAAATGATTGCTAGATAATAATACTTTTTTGGTACTAAGTACAAAAGTCAAATAAAAAAACACCACCTCTTGATTACCCAATATTTCCGTAGATATGCATGGGTACATGTATACGTAATATAAAAATTAACATAATAAAAGAAAATAATTTAGAAAAAATACAACTATATTTCACGAGAGCTTTAAAGTGACATGCACAAGACCCACCGCAAAACCCAAAATTTTGCGATGGTAATCTCAAAAGACGAGACAAACCCAGTGTTTAAATAAAGCTTAAAAACAAGCACACACGAAAAACAAGATTCTATTTTGAAGCACAGCCAAACAGAAAGGGATTTGCTCATTCAACATAATCATTCAAGCTAAGAGGCTCGTTCACTACCTCAAACTCTATATCGTCGTCGTCGAAGTTTGTTGCGTTCGGAGAGCTAGCTGACGATGTTTTGGGTCTATTATGGGATTTTTTAGGGTCGA